ATCTATCTAGAGACTGCTGCAAACAAACAGCTCTTTAGTTCTTGGTAAGAAGAGCGAATATTGGGCCAGATTTCTAGCCCTTAAGAAATGTGGCGTCTGATTCTATTTGGCAGGAAGTTTAATTTGGTGTGGAATTTTAGCCAGACTTTTTGGAGAAATGTATTTTTTAAATGTATCATATCCAAAACTTACTGCAAAAAGTGATGTTCATTTAGTCTGTCTATTCTATTAATAGCCATTTAAATACTTTGCAAATATTAACATTGCTGTTTTAAGCAGCATGTAGTAAATACTTGACCTTTTTGTTCCTAAATTTGTGGCCAAACACTTTTATGTAAAATTGGGAGAAATTCATTGTAGTCTGCTGTTTATTTAAATTGTAGGCAAACAGTACGTGCTATAGTTTTCTCACCAACTACCAAGTTGGTTATTGTGTAATTCACCTCTTAGAATATGGCACCTAGTAGTGTCCAGAACTCTTGGTTCAAGATTAAACACCTCATCAGAACTTAAATAGGTGGCAAGAAGCTCATGAAGACACAGCAGTGTAAGAGAAAGGTTGACTGAGGAGGACTGAGAGGAGACTTCAGCTCGGCAAAATGACACTCAAGGGGAGAGTGTGATAACAGTTCACAAATAATAAATAGAAAGACCAAAGAGGGGAAGGAATTCTTTTTCTTTGTTATTAGAAGTAATGGGAAGAAACACAGAAAGGGAAATTTCAGACTGAAAATCAGGCAAACTCCCTGACCATAAAAATTTGTCATGAATGGACTGACATCTCCAGCTACAGAGATGTTCCTAAACCTAGCAGGCATTTCACTGTGGAAGATGTACCTCAGCAGTGGCTGAGAGCATCTGAATGGGAGAAAATATTTCATGGATAGCCACTCTTAAGGATTGCTCCTTTTGTCCTTTTTTTTCTTCTATGGGCCAGAAAGAAGTCTTGATCCTTCTTATATTTACTTGTCTATACCATGATTTGTTCACTGACTTACCTGAAATCTTTGGAAGAAACAGAAAGCATTCAAAAGCTTTTAAGATTTCACAGTGCAAAAGCAGCCTGATTTTCTTTTGTTTTTGTCTTTTTTGTTAGTCCATTTAAAAATTCACCTTAAGGTAGACTTTTCAAGCCACAGAATGGCAGCGGCAGTGTTCTCACTGGAGTTGGAACCTGAAGACCAGCGTTTGAACTGTGGCTCACGCACTTGTGAGCAAGTTGCTTATCCTCCCTGAGCATCAGTTTCCTAAAATAAGACATTAATACGATCATGCTTATTGTGAAGATTAAATGAAAGGATATGTGGGAAAATGCTGTTGTGCCATGTATCAGTTTTAGTTATTCATGTTTTGTTTTTTGTTAATCCTCACCCAAGGATATTTTTCCATTGATTTTTCTTTTTCTCTCTCTCTCTCTTTTTTTTTTTTTAGATAGAGTGGAAGGGGGGGGGGGAGAGAGAGAGAGAGAGAAGAAAGACATCGATTGATTGGTTGCTTCCCACACAACCTCAACCAGGGCCAGGGATCAAACCTGCAACCCAGGTACATGCCCTTGACTAGGAATCGAACCTGTGACCCTCCAGTCTCTGGGCCGCTCTAAGAGCTGAGCCAAACCAGCCAGGGCTAGTTATTAATGTTTGTATTAGTTTTCTATTGCTATTGTAACAAATTACCACAAACTTAGTGGCTTAACTTAACACAAATGTATTATGTCATAGTTCAGCTGGTTTCTCAGTTCCAGGTCTCATGAGGCCAAAGTCAAGGTGTTGGCTGCCCTGGACTCTTACTTGGAGGCTCTGGGAGAGAATCTGCTCCACGCCCGTTCAGGAAGCTGGCAGAAGTCAGTTCCATGCTGCTGTGGGGCTGAGGTCCCTCTATCCTTGCTGTAGCCTGGAGTTGTTCTTGGCTTCTAGAGGCTGCCTGCATTCCCTTCATCTTCAAAGCTAGTTGAGTCCTCACATTTCAAGTATCTCTGATGTCCCCTTCTGCCTCATCTCTCCTACCTCCAGCCAGATAAAGTTCTGTTTTTAAGAGCTTGTGTGATTAAGTTAGGCCCACCTGGACAGTCCAAGATAATCTCCCCATTTGAAGGTCCATAACCTTTACATCTGCAAAGTCCCTTTGCCATGTAGTGTAACATTCACAGGATCTACAGATTAGAGTATGGACATCTTTGGGGGTTCATTCTGCCTACTACAATGGTGGTGTTTGGGGGCTAGAGAGGGACCTTATAGAACATGCAATAAGGCTTTTGCCCTGGAGGGTTTACAGTCCAGTGGGGGAAAGAGATGAAAACATAATATATGGCACAAAAAGTCCAATAATAGTTTGTATGGGATGTTATAGGAGCCCAGAAGAATTTTTCTGTACCTGACATGGCCTGTGGTTTTCCCATTTGTAATGTGTTTTATCAAGATCCTTCTGATGGAATCCATATACACAAAACACCACCATGTGATTTGATTTCTAAACATCTAGAAAATCAAGCTGCTGCCATAGCTTGGTATTTAGGACTCCGCTAGTTAATGAAAGGTTTTCAGTCCTCAGCTCAAAGAAAGAGGACTTTTTTGTTTTCTTCTCTGATGATGAAGTAACACCTTATCTTCCCTTCTCTTGCTTCTTATATCCCCTTTTTCTTCATCAAACCCTCTTGAAAGTCTTCTTGTCCTTCACCCCTAGCTCTCTGGCCATATGTATGTCATTACTCCCTCCCTCTTGAGTGTTCTTGTTTCTTATTGTTTTGAGTTAGAAGACACTAATCTTGGACAATGCAGAAATTTCTGTATAATCCTTGCCATTTGTCATTTCTATTTTAATAATGTTTCCTGGATGTTTAGTCAGGTCTCAGTGATAGTTTGTAATAATAGCAGTTGCCTTTTATTGACAACTTACCATGTGCCAGGTGCTGTGCAGAGTCCTATACTTCTGTATTCTCATTAATTTAGACATTCTGTAAGGTATAGATACTATTTTTATCTTCCTTTGGACCCAGCTGGGATTTGGACCCAAGTCTAAGTCCAAGCTCGTACTTGACACTACGTACTTAAACAGGAGCTGACACTGAGGGGCAGCATGAAGGAGCCAAAGCAGTACAAGTAGAGTCAGGAAACCTGCATTTCAAACTCAGTTCTGTCTTTCCAGTCCTGTAAGTTAGAGGATTCACTTTTAGAGCACCATAATTGCCCTCATTTTCCACCAGAGACATTCAAAGTGATCCCTCCATGTTATACTTCAGACAGGTGATTTTAACTTGTGTCTACAGCACTGGACAGCCACAGAGTAGGTATGGGCATGCGCTGGCTTGGCATTCCACAGAAAAGCCTATTTCTTGGTGTTGGGGAGGGGGCTGGATCTGTGGTGTGCCCTCTAGCTGGCCTCAGCAATTACAGGAAATACAGAATACCTTCCCCACAGGGTTGGGATGATTAAGATTTTTAAGGATTTAACAGTGCCTGGCACTTAGTAGGCACTCAGTATATGCTGTTTCTCATTGTTTTTCTAGAAGGTTTTCTTTAGTTGATAGATATTCAAGCCAGCAGTACCTTGTTCTAGCTCCACTTGACCCCAGGCTCAATGTTGAGAAGACATGAGATGCATCTCTGTGTTGGCCCCTGTCCAATCTGTGAATCATAAGTTTTCAGAATTAGAATATGAGACCAAAGAAGGCAAAGTATTTCCCCTTCTCATTCTTGCTAAATTCTTGAGTTTTTGAGATAATGGAATGGACAGTCCTGGGTTCAAATGCAGCCTCTGCGCTTCGCTGATCAAGTTACCTGCCTGTTTCCATCATGGAAAGAACTTGGGCTGTGGGGAAGGGTAAACCTGGCCATTTTACTCAGTTATTCAGTCACATCTTTTCTAAGGCTGTGTCCTTATCGGTGAGTGGAGACAACAGCAATTCTTCTCTTGCAGGGTTGTGAAAATTAGAGAGTAATGCATGTGGTACAATCAGGACGTGGCAGCAGAAGCCAATTAAAGGCTTGGAGCTTTTACACGATTCATTCATTCATTCATTCATTCATTCATTCATTCATGGCCTTAGCAATTTAGTTTGAGCAAGTGATCCCAAGTTTGAGTTACTTCTCCTTCTCCCTCTCCAGTAAGAGGGTAGCTAGGTAAGGTAGCTGTGGGTGCCCTACCCACAAGGCCAGAGCAGGTATGGGGAGAGCCTTATTAGGCAATGGAGGTGCCAAGTACCACCTAAGCCCAGCCCTACCGCGTTCAACTGCCAAAGCCCCTGGCGCCAAACAGTGTTGCTTCAGCTGCTAGTAGTTAATGCTCCTTGACTTGGAAACGGTTTCAGCTCCTGGGAGCAACATGGTGAGGGCTCACTCTTCACTCCCATTGTCTCCCTGAGACTGGGATCCACATTTCTCCCTGCCCAATTTACCATCCTTCAAGGCTCACCAGGCTGTGAGCCCAGGGCCAACGCGGGGGTAAGGAGTGTGGGGAGGGCGGGGAACTTTTCCGGGAAGGGACTCAGCAGGGTCTTGGCTGGCAGCCCTGTTAGCCAGGGCCCAGGACCCCATGGTGTGAGAGTGAACAGAAAGGTACTCCCGCCTGGAGCGATTGCAAAATCTGTCATGACGAAGAATCTGAGCTCAGAGGCACTTGGTGGAAGGGGCCCTCTCCCCGTCCCTCATTCAGATGCTGGGGCCTAAACAGGGTCCAGTTCCACTGAGGAAGGCTGGGAACTAGAAAGCTATGCGGACTAGACACCCCGCCTTTCCAGTCTCCAGGGGGTGGGGGGTACGACGGCCCCGTCAGGGCCGGGGAGAGGGGTCGGTCCCGTAGCTCTGCCTCCCGGGGACGTGGGGCCCAGCCAAGTCCAGCGTGGGGAAGGGGCAGGCCTCCCCTCCCCGCGCCTGTGGAGACCCTCCGCCCGTGTCCGGAGGAGGCCGGAGTCCAGCAGATGCACGCGGGGCGGGGGGGCGGGCGGGGGAGAGGCGGGGAGGAGAAAACCCACAACAAAACTTGCGTCGCCCAGCTCCCGGCTCGACTTGAATGGAAGGAGCCCGCGTCCGCGGAGCGCAGCAGAGGGTTGGGAGAGCGCGTTCGGCCGGTGGGGCGCGGCGAGGCGCTGGGACGCAGCAGGTACCGGGCGTGGGCGGCCGGGTGAGCCGAGGGGTCGGGGCCGAGCCTGGGCAGCAGACTCGTACTTCCCGCCTGGTGCGGACCGCCGGGTGGGGCCGCCGCCTCTCACCCCTGGGAGCCTGGACCGAGGGCACGGCGGGGAGCTCTCCCTCGGGGGTGCGACCCCTCCGCGATCCGGACCTGGCAGGGGCCTTTCCTCCTCTCTGGCCAGAGGCTGGTCCCAGCCCCCGGGCCCCTCCCGCTGCGCACATCTGGAAAGAATCTGAGGGCGGATGGGAGGGGGAAGTGGAAGGACACAGGCAGGCAACAGAGAATGTGAGGGGCAGGTGGAACTGGCGAGGGGCGTGGACCCCTGTACCTAGAGCCCGGGCTCAGTTACCTCGTGTCTTTCCAGCCAGTCCACCCTTCGACCTCTTTACAGACAGAGAAGCTGAGGCCTAGAAAGGGGCAAAGATCTGCCTCCAGGACACGCGGACAGGTGAGGCGGAGCCCGCGCGTCCACCTCCCGGACCGCTTGGGGCTCTGCTCCCAAGCCCAGCGCCGCGCACTCGCTGAGCCAGAGCTCTTAGCTGGAGGCCTGGTGTCCGTCTGTCTGTCTACACAGCTGCCTCCCCGCTGGGGCAGCTGGACGGAGGAGGGGGAACGCAGAGAGCAGACGGAGGGGTGGGGGCCTCCCGCTAATGCTGTGAAAACCTCAGGTTGTAGGTCCCTGAACCGCCAGCCTGGCCTGGGGCAGGGACCAGATCTTGGCGTTAGAATACCTGATGCGCGGTCAGGTGGAAGAGGAGGTGGCGGCCAGCGAGCTCCTGGTGGCCCCTAGGGCTGGGGCTGGGAGGCAACTGCAGCCCGAACTCTTCAGGAGAGGAGCAGGGACCAGCGTGGCTGTGTGTGCTTTCGGCGCTGATTGTCCCTCTGGGAGGCACAAAGGGATGTGCGCCGCCCTTGGAGTGCACCTCGGAACCACAGGGACCCACGACCTGAGCATCAGCCCTTGGACTTAGGCCGGCCAGGAAGAGTGAAGCTGTGGTCCACCTGGCTCCAAGGACACCACTGGTGTGAACTGGGAGAGCCCCTGGGTGGGCTTGTCCCCTTTTAAGCCCCAGGGCCCAATCTACTCTAGCTTAGAATGCAAGTCAAGAACTGTCAGATTCACTTGACTTTTCATGAGAGCTAGTCGGAGCATACTTTATCCGTTTTAAATGCATTTTGCCTAATGGTGGCACCTTTAGGCCTGGTGGAGTCATACCTTGACCTGCCTGGAACCCTTGATGGCTCCCAATCACCATCACCTTAGCATAGTGATGCTCTTGGAGACTTGGACCTTCATCCTGTTTACCCTTCCTTAAGCATACCTCCTTCCTCCCCCATCCCCAGACTGCCTTTGCTCATGCCCTCCACCCTGTCTGGAGTGCCCTTACTCCCCTTTTCCCAGCTGGAGAATTCCTACTCAGCTTACAAGACCAGCTCAAGGCTCTTGGCAGGAGTCAGAAGACACACATTCTAGTCCTGATCTTGCCTTTAAACAGAGGGAGTCAGACCAGATAATGTTGCAGGTCTTTTCCAACTCTGCCTTTCACAAATTCATTCCTTTATTCAGCAAACATTTCCTGAGCGCCCACTCTATGTGGGCCAGGGGTGCTGTTGGAGCCCAGAGGAACTACTTAACCCAGCTAGGCGGGCAGGAGCAGCTTCCTGGAGTAGGGACGTTTGAGTAAGAGATTGCTGGGGATGGACAACAATGGGCAACCCTTGTGCTTGAGTTTTTTCTGCAAAATAGGCATTTATTATTATTTTTTAGTCTTGGGATTTCTATTGGAGTATATAAGAGGTAGATGCTCGCAGCCCAGTGCACAGCAGGTGATCACTGAGTCTTCACGGAATTTGAGTGGAAGAGGAAGGTAAAGCTAAGGTCTACCTCCTGATTTGAGAATCTTCCTTCTTCTTCCCATCTCAATCTGATACTTCAGCACTTCAGAGCATTGAGATTGGGGGTGGGATGGGGGAGGGCAGCAGGCCCCCAGGTACAGTAACAGTAACCCCATGTGTATATGTCACACTTGCTGGGTGCCAGCATCCACAGGGCATGTCATTTCATTTCATCCTCATGAGGAATTCCCATCTCTATTGCCTAGACTAGTAAACAGAGGCTCAGAATAGTGAAGTGACTCATTCAGGCTCAGGATTGGACCCTACATACTCTGTCACTGAAGCTCTCCACATGAGGAAGAGCTCACCACAGACAGAACTGCCCCTCTTCCCCAGCCTTTGCTGTCTCAAAGGTGTGAGTTGTTCCTCACCAGGAGAACTCCTCACTCTGGGGACTTCCAGAGATAAGGGGTCTCTGTTCTTCCACACACAGTTCCAACATGGCTGGGCACATAGAAGGGGCCTTATGTTGCTCAACATTCTTAGAACAACAAAAATTGAGACTGATAGGTCAGCGATGTGGCCAGGGTCACACAGAGAACCAGGTGGTGGAGCTGAAGTTGTCCAGGATCCCAAGGTCCTAAGCATGGCTGGTCAAGCTAGGAGGAGAGGGAGTGGCACTTGGGTCACCACTCTCCAAGCCCTGTCTGTTCTTCTCCCTTGAATCTAGCTCCCTCTCCATCCCTGCAGCCCAGCACCTCCCTGTATGCTCAGAACAGGCTTAGCATCCCTTACCTGCACCGCTGCACAGCCTCCGAAAGATCCACAGCGGTCCATCCACATGCCTGCCTATGCTATGCTCCTTCAACAGCTTCTCATCTCCCCAAAGATAAGGGTCACTCTCCCTACCCTGGCTTTCAAGTCCCTTCTTCATGTAGACTTGTGGCATCTGTCCACTTGCATCACTCCCAGTCTCCAACCTCTACCAGACTCTCTCTGAGCTTTTTTTTGGTACATGCCCCTAGCAGGAACCGAACCCGGGACTCTCTGGTCCGCAGGCCAATGCTCCGCTGAGCTAAACCGACCAGGGCTCTCTAGCTTTTTAAAAGTCATACCATGGGCTCTCTCACCCCCAGGCCTGTGCACAAGCTGACCTCTTGCTTGTATCACCCTTTGCCTTTCATCTACACTCATCCTTCATGGCTAGATGAGGTGTCACTTTTTCTGGGAAGCCTTTTTGGGCCCAGGCTGGGTTCCTATAGACTTTAGCTTCCCTTCATCACACCTCTGATGACACTGGGACTATAATATTCAATTTACACATAATGTCCAATAGAAATACAATGTGAGCAATGAATGCAATTTACCATAATGTCTAATAGAAATACAGTGTGAGTCACAAATGCAAACCACATAAGTAACGTCAATTTTCTAGAAGCCACAGTAAAAAAGTAAAATAAAACAGGAAAAATTAATTTTAATAATCTATTTAACTGAACAGATCCAAATTGATTATCATGTAATCAATATAAAAATAAATGAGTGTCCTGGCCGGGTTAGTTGGTTGGAGCATTGTCCTGTAGACCAAAAGGTTGCAGATTCAACTCCTGGTCAGGGAGCATACCAATCAATGTTGTATTTTTTTCTCTCTCTCTCCCTTCCTCTCTAAAAATCCATTTTAAAAAATCCTCAGGTGAGAATTTTAAAAATAATAATAATAATAAATGAGCTATTTTATGATATCATTAATATTAATAATAAGGTATTTTACATTCTTTTTTGTACTAAGTCTTTGAAACCCATGCACACTACATTTTACATTTGTAGCCACAACATTGGACAGTGCTGGGGTGAGCTTCTTAAGAGCAGAAGACACGCCTGAATGGTCGGTCTGGGTCCTCAGTGCCCAGCTGTGTTTTGCATTAACCATATCCTTGTGGTTAAGACCTGGGCTAGGAGCTCAGCTTTGCCATTTAACAGCTGTGTTACATCGGCCAATCTTACTGGGCCCCAGCTCCCTCATCTATAAAGTGGTGATGATAACATTTTCAATATGGTTCATAATGTTAATATAAATTAAATATTTTTACAGATACAGTTTACAGATCTTGAAGGTGAGGTCAGAAAAATAAATAGCTGGCCAAGAGGGTGCACAGGATATGTGGGGATAATCCTTTTACATGGCCTTCTGCCCTGATTGAATTTGGGACCCAGGCCTGTTCCTGCCTCTCCCTCCCAGAGTCCAGTTCTGCAACAAGGGTCAGACAGACCAATGCTGGTGGCTCCAGGGGTTGAAAGCCATTGAGCTTGCTGGGGGATTGTAATGTGCCATGGGAATGATGGTCTGTAAACTGGCTGAGGATCTATTGCCCATTTGGACAGCAGGGGTGTGGTTGGGATGGCATAGGGTCAGGCTGCAGCCGAATGATCCCTGGAGCCCAGGACTGTGTGTGTCCTCAGCCCCTGGTTCTCTGCAAGGCTAGGGCTGGGGCCCAAGTCTGCTTAGGCCTTGAGGATCTATAGGATAAAACAAGCCCGGTTGCCACCCCTCTTCTCTCTCCTCACACCTTTCAAGCCTGGGAGGAGGTAGACCTGGGACTGGACCAAAATGCACAGCAGGATCTAGACAGGGAAGGGTAAAAAGCAGGGGGTTCTGGAGCAGGCAATGGTGTGGATGAGATGTGAACAAGGCCCACGGATCAGATATTAGCGGTGGGAAGAGCTAACATTTATTGAGCACTTATTGTTTGCAGTATGTTCATCCCACTGACTCTCATAGTCTTCCCATTAGGATGACCCTGTTACCAGCTTGGGGATGGGTAAGTAAACTGGGGTTTAGAGGGTGACATTTGCTCAAAGTCCCACAGTTGGTGAGAGCCAGGGCTGGGCTTGCAGCCCCACTGTCTGGCTCCAGAGCCTGCTTCCTTAGCCAAACATCAGCGTCATCATTAGCTTCCAGTGTATCTCCCAGGCCCACCATCTCGTCAGACCCTTCTAAGGGCTCTGTGGATTGTGGTCCCTGATCTAATGGGAGGGGGAGAGGCTCTGACTGAGGAGCAGCACCCCAGGCCTGGACACCTGCTGTGTACCTGCGATTGTATTCACCGCAGCACAGGTAGCAGTGCCTCAGCACCTAATAGGTGCCAGGTGCTTTGCGGTGGTACCTTGCGGACTCCTCACAGAAGTTGTGAGTTCACTATTATCTGTAAGATGAGGAAGATGAGGCTCAGTGAGGTCAGAGATGTGGTGGTGGATGGGGACTTAAACTGGGGTTGGTGGGACTCCATGGTCGGTGTACCCGAGCTACTGCCTGTCACAACTTATCACACCCCAGAGAGGTTTTCTGAGTGAGTCCCTGAAAAGAGAACTCCTGGGACAGGCCTGGCCCATGGGTTGCTGGGACCAATGGCCTGAAGCCATCCTCTATGTCCCCTCCCTGCTGCCCCAGGGGACCATGCTGAGAAGTGGTCTCCTGCAGGTAGCAGTAGTCATGTGAGCACAGCAGGCCCTGGTGAGGGCAGCCGAGGGTCAAACACCGAATGGGACTTGGGAGGTTCTGGGGGCAGCAGCAGCTCCATTTACTGATACCTACTCTGTACCTGACTCTGGCCTGGGCCTCCACCAGACTCACAGTCCTGTTGTGGGAGAAAGACACCTTCATGTATTCACAACCCAACCCAATTCATGCCAAGCCTTGAGGGAACACAGTAACAGAGAGCCCTGGGGCATCTTGGAGTCTTCCCAAGGGACACAATGCTGCAACTGATTCTTGGAGAACTTGCTGATTGCACAAGACAGCGGGGCAGGGCATTCCAGGCAGAAGGAACAGGATATGCAAAGGCCAGGAGGGAGGAACTACTAAACAGATCTATATAATTGGTGAGTGGGAGAGTTGGAAGAAAGGCAGAGCCCAGATCTGAAGATCCTAGACAGGCAGGCTGAAGAGCTGGGACGCACCCTGCTGGTCTGGCCCACCATGGCCTGTGGCAGCTGGAGGAGGTACAGGGCCTCCCAGTACTGCCTGTTGGAGAACTCAGCAAAGCCAGGCCAACCCCTTGCACAGCACAGTTCTTTCTGGGCCTCAGCTTCCCTTCTCATAAGTAGGGGTACAGAACCTTTGGAGCCAGGCCTGCTAAGAGTTTGGGAGGTTTTACAGACCTGCCTAAAGACAAGGCTTCACTTCACCCCATCCCTCCAGAGGGCAGCCCTGGCGGGATGCGTAGGGAGGGGAGGGTGGCAGTCACCAGGTCAGATGTGTGCTGAGCGCAGGCTCCAGAGTGGGCTCTGCCTGGTGCCGGGAGGGCCTCATTAGGACTTTCGTGGGCCCCAGCCCCAGGCCTACTGTACCTAACAGGTTAAGTCAGCCCTGGTCCAGAGGGTCTGACTCAGCCTCTCCTGCAGGCACCATGGCCAGGAGCAGGGAGCTGCGGCTCCTGCTGCTGTTGCTGCCGCCGCTGCAGCTGGGACTGGTGCTCGCCGTGCGGGCCCCTGTGTTTGGCCGAAATGGGGCCCACAGCCTGAGCCCTGAAGAGAATGAATTTGTGGAGGAGGAACCAGTGCTGGTCCTGAGCCCTGAGGAGCCGGGACCTGGCCCAGCCACTATTAACTGCCCCCGAGAATGTGCCTGCTCCCAGGAGGGTGTCGTGGATTGTGGCGGCATCGACCTGCGTGAGTTCCCAGGGGACCTGCCTGAGCATATCAACCACCTGTCCCTGCAGGTGAGACCGGCACTGCACCAATGGTCCCAGGGGCTGTCCCCACACTCACAGCTCCCTGCTGGCCCAGAACCCCCGTGCTCCTGGCTCCCCACCCCCAGCCCTGTGGTGTTTGGGCAGGTCAGACATGAGGATCTGGCTCCACGCTGAGGTGTCCCCCTCTGATCGCTGTCCCCATCACAGAACACCATGATATAAACCTGCTTTGTTTCACTGGGAGGAGTCTGGGCTGAGGCCCGTAAGTAGAGTCAGGCCCCATCTGAAAATTGACACAGACCTGCCAGCATCTGACCCTCGGACGAGATTACAGGCCAGGAACACAAGAGCTCAGTGGACCCCATAGAGTGTTCTCTCCAGCTGAGGTATAGGAAGTGGGACAGGGAGTTCCAGGTGGCGCCTCTGGGAGCGCTGGTGCACCCCACCACCCTTGTGTGGCCCAGCAGCCCTGGGAAGAGGAAGAGGCTGTTACATCCATTTCCAGAGGAGACCAGGTCCAGTGAAGGAAAGTAACCTGCCCTGTGGGCCTGGGCTGGCAGTGGCGGGAACCCAAGGCCAGGGTAGCCCCTGAGGGAAAGGGACAAGTTGACAACAGCACTTATTTTAGGTTCCTTCACTCACTCCTCATTCGTAAGATACCTCCTACCTGCTGTCCATCTCTGGTCCTGTGCGGGGTGCTGGGCGTACAGGGAGGACCAGGACAAACCCTGCCCTTGCACTCCCAGTTGTGGGGGAAGCAGAGACCCAAACAAGCAGAGAGAGTGATGGAGACAGAAGGAATCGTTGTGAGGCCTGGAGCAGCTCCTAATCCAGCTCCCAGGCCAGCCCAGGGAGGCTTCCGGACAAGATGATACCAGACCCAGATTTTAAAGCATTCCAAGGGGAATGGGAAATGCAGAACCCAAAAAGGGAACCGAACATGGTTCTGGCTTGGGGGTGGGGAGAACAGGCTGTCACCAAGTGGGACATGCAGAGAGCAGGTCTGAAGAGGAGACGACACGCCAAGTTTAAACTGCCTGCGGACAGCCATGTGTGGACCCACGTGTCTGCTGTGGTCACTGCCATGTCTCTAGCACCCAGATGCAGGCAAGGCCCAGAGCCAGCACCCAGGGTCTGTCTACCATAAGGGCAAATCCCAAGGGAGGTGCCCAACAGAGAAATTGACTCCTGACATGGGGACTGAGGATGGAGTTGGGCCTGTTTCCCAGGCTGCCTCCTCACCCCCCCCCCCACTCCCCAGAACAACCAGCTGGAGAAGATCTACCCTGAGGAGCTCTCCCGGCTGCATCGGCTGGAGACTCTGAACCTTCAGAACAACCGCCTGACTTCCCGAGGTGAGGGATCACCCCGAACCTGGAATGGGGCACCAGGCAGGGGACTGGGTGCCCCTGGGGAGAGCCGCACCTGAAGACCCCAGGATGTGGAAAAGCAGGTCTGGGCTGGGCTGGCGGTGGGTCCTGGGTGTTGCCTAAAACCCAGCCCTGGGTCTCTGAGACCTGGGAGTTGACTCAGGGGGGTGGCTTCAAAGACCTTTGTCTTCGACTCTTCAGTTCACAGAAGGTCTTTAGAATTAAAGAGTTGTAGAGTACTCATGACTCTACAGTAAAATGAAAATAATTTTGATTATAATAGAAAATTTGGTAATATGGAAAATGAAAAAATAAAAAAACAGTCATAATTCTGCCATTTGGAGTTCACCACTGTTGACATTTTGGTGTAATTCTTTCCTTTTTTTCCCCTCACTCGAGGACATCTTTCCATTTTTTGTTCAGATAGAGTGAGAGGGAGAGAGAGAGAGAAACATCGACGTGAAAGGGACACATCAAGTGGCTGCTTCCCGCACAACCCCAAGTGGGGCCGGGGACAAACTGCAACCGAAGTACATGCCCTTAGCGGGAACCGAACCCGGGTCTCTCCGGACCACAGGCCAACGCTCTAACCGCTGAGCCAAACTGGCCAGGGCCGTTATTTCTATTTTTAAAAAGCAGCTTTATTGAGGTATAATTTGTATACCATAAGATTTACCCAATTTAAAGGTACAATTTGATGAGTTTTAGTCATTCATACAATTGTATAACCACCATCGCAATCCAACCAAGTCTTTTTCCTTTGGGTTTTCTCGTTCCTGGCTGAGTCTATAGTACAGGTCGTCTAACTGTTGTGAGTGCTTTGTTTCACTCAGCAGTTAGCTCTGCAGCATTTCTCAGGCTGCTGTTTACGTAACTGTTCCCTCTCGTTAGATAATTGGGTGAGTCCCAGCCTCCGAGGGTCCAGGAGACAGGAACCGAGCATCATGGGCTGGCCTCAGGCCTGGAGAAGGCCCAGCCTGGCTGGGACTCCAGTGACAGCAGAGTCCTGACACTAAGTGGGGTAGGGGCGGGTGGGGGCAGGGCAGGCCAGGGGGTGGGGAGGCTCCAAGGCTGAAGCAGTGCTGCCAGGGGGCTGAGTCTGAGGGTCTTTCATCCGGTGGGGCTGCTTCCAGGGGAGCACTCCTTCCTGTCAGGGAAAATGTTCATCTGGGTTCCCTATCCCATGGGCTGACCTTACTGGGACCCATTCCCGCCTGGGTGGCCCTGAGCAGGTGACGGATTAGTCATCCTCTAGTGGACATTTTCCACCTGCTTCCCTGAGCTTGGGTCCCTGCGAGCAAGGGACTGGGAAGGCCTGTTGGGACTGGCTGGGAAGAGAGCAGAGCCACACCTGCCGCAGGGAGTGCCCTCCCCTGTCCTGGCAGGTGGGGTGGACTTGGTGGGGGGTGTGTGTGTGGGGTCAGTGCTGATGTGCTCCCCTGTAGCGTCTCCTTCATCCAGGGCTCTGACCGATGCCTGTCCTTTGAAGGGCTCCCGGAGGAAGCGTTTGAGCATCTGACCAACCTCAATTACCTGTACCTGGCCAATAACAAGGTAAGGGGCCTGCTGCAGGGAAGTGTGCTGCCCGTGCCCCCAGGTGCCACAGGCTGAGTTCAGGGAACTTTCACCAGGGCTTCTGGGCTAGCCACTGGGTCCCCACAGCTGCTCAGACATAGCCTGCCTGTACCCCACACCTTAACCTGGGGCATCAGAGTGATCCATTAGTGAAGACAGAGGCCAAGGCTTACAAGAGTGTAGGGAGGTAAAAAGCTCATCTCCATGGGGGGCGGGGGCACTTTCATGGCTTTGTGGGGGGATATCATTTAAAGGACCACGAAGGGTAACATTTTTCAGGCAGGACCCCTGAGGCACAAAACACTGCAGTAGGTAGAAGGAACAGCACGAAAACAGGCACAAAGACGCTCAACCTCAGAAACATTGGGCTGTCCCAGAGCTCTGTGCTGGCCCTTTTCTCTGAGCTCTCCATAATGGCCTGTCCAGCCCCTTCCACTCCTTCCACTCGAAACCCAAAGATCCTTCTGCCTCCTGGGTGGCTCCCTTAGGTGTCTAATGAACCCCCCTAGGGCTTTCCACCCACAGCCCCCCGTCTCCTGCCAGCTCTCCAGCCACCTACAGTACTACAGTCTGAGGGCCAAGCCCCAGAGCCCTCTCCCATGTCCAGCAGCTCTGCAGCCCCTCCCCCACCTACTATCTTGCAACTGGACAACCCTGACTCCTCTTTTGCTGCCCTTTCTCCTCAGAGCAGCAGGTGGATCTTTAAAAATCATGCCCAGCTTCTCCCCTACATTCCCCCTCCCTGCTTAAAACCCTCCAGTGGCTTTGCCTTCCGCCCAGAACGAAAGCCACCCTTCTCCCTGCTGCTCTTAAGGTGGTCTCACTCACTCACCCTCTCTTGCTCCTCTCCAGCTGTCAAACCCTGCAACCCCACCCTCCCGTGCTGGGTTTGCACTGGCTGCTCCTGCTGCCTCAGATGCTCCCCTCCCGGGTGCCATGTATGGTGCCTGCATGCCTTAAATGTCTGTCACCTGTTCCCTAAGCACGCAACCCAGTTGTTCTGTCTTCAGCCTGTTTGAATTCCCTGCATAGCAGTGATCATTATCAGATACTTTCATTCCTTGTTTATTGTCTTCTCCACGAGGATGTAAGTTTGGGGTGGGGTGGGGGCAGAGGTACTCTCTGTCTTGTTGCCCAGTACCTGCCCAGCGAGCTCCTGGAACCCTGCCCGGAATGCTGCAGACTCAGGCTCTCCTGTTGAGTGAACGAAGGGTAGACATTGTGGGCTGTGGCCGGACAGAGAGCCAGTGCCGCGGACCAGTGAGGGGACAGAGTAGGAGGACAGGCAGAGCAGGGACAGGCCTGGTGGGCTTTGAATGCCAAGCTCAGCGCTGTGGGGAGCAGTAGGGGTTCTGTGTTTGTGTTAATCAGAGGAAGGGGATGGGTTTCCATTTTAGAAAGATGGCTGTCGTTGCCGGGAGGAGACAGATGGAGGGGCCTAGATGAGCAGCATGCAGTGGGACCAGAGCCCACCTCCTCCCCTCCATTGGTCTTTCTGCCCCAACTCTTCCCTTTCCAGCTGACCTTGGCACCCCGATTCCTGCCAAACACCCTGATCAGTGTGGACTTCGCTGCCAACTATCTCACCAAGATCTATGGGCTCACCTTTGGCCAGAAGCCAAACTTGAGGTCAGAGGTCGGAGGGGGTCCCTGGGCTCAGGCTGGGGAATGGAGAGGAGCTGAGCAGAGGCTGCCACCCTGAGTGAGGCAGAGAGGACCCAGAGAGGCCCTGGAGAAGGGCCATGCGGTGCAGTGCGGGCATGACACCTCATGCTCAGGGCTGTGCGGAGAGACACCGAGGGGCTGCAGAGGCTTGGGCTCCAAAGGCTGAGACCTGAAGGATGAGGAGGAATCGGTCCAGGAGGCCAGAAGAAGGTGATATCTGTGGAGTTATCGGAGCTGGGTGAGGGTGCTTCCTCCTTCCTCAGCCCCTGGGGGAGAAGCATCTCCCAGCAGCAGAGCCTTGAGAGGAGCGGCAGGGCAGGGCGTGCTGGGGGGCTGACCGCTCCTGGTGTTGCTTCTGTACCTGAATCTGTCACCTCACGTGATTCTCTCCATTCCCCAGAGGAGCCAGGGTCACTGCGTGGTCCCATCCACAGATGAGAAGGCTGAGGCCCAAGAGAGGCACACAGCAAGAATGAGCTATATCTTCTATGTATTAATTTTGTTTCTATTCTAGCCCTTTAGTATGTTAGCTCCATGAAGGCAGGATCTTGTTGGTTGTGTCCATTGCTATAGCTTTAGATTCTAGAACATTCCCAGCATGTAGGGGCACTCACTGTATACTTGCTGAATGAATGAAATGTCACCTCCTTCTGAACCAGGCCCTGTGCTGGGCATTAGGGACAAAGAGATATCAGGGACACACCCCATCTTCAGGAGGACCCCCAGAACTCAGAGCCAGCTGTGTGGGGTTGACAAGCAGGGATTCCAGGGCTGTGACAGTCAGGGAATGACTGAGAACCTTGAAGGGTATGAAGGAGCATGGATGGGGTAGTGGGGAAGTCCTATTTCTGCCACTAACTTGTGGGGCAACCTCTGGTAGTCCTTGATCCCCTCAGCTGTATAGGGGGGACTACATTAGGTAGAATCTGAGGTTCCTCAGATGGAAGGAGGGTTGCCCAGGCCCCAGGCTCAACCTAAGCAAGGTTTGGAGGCTCACTAGGTGAGTGGCCACTGGGACCAGGTGTGGGGTGTGGGTGTGGGTGGGTGAGGACCTGCACCTTATCCTCCAGGTCCGTGTACCTGCACAACAACAAGTTGGCGGACGCTGGGCTGCCGGACAACATGTTCAATGGTTCCAGCAGCGTTGAGATCCTCATTCTGTCCAGCAACTTCCTGCGCCACGTGCCCAAACACCTGCCGCCCGCCCTCTACAAGCTGCATCTCAAGGTGGGAGGGAGCAGGCAGATGGGGAGCCCCCTGAGCAGGGTCCCGTAGCGGGAAAAGAGCCCAGGCCCACATGGGCACAGTGGCAAGGCTGTGGGGCTTTGAGCACATGCCAGAAGGCACAGCATCCTCTACAGAGAAGCAGGCGTGAACCTGAGCACCTGGGTGTCAGCCCCACACCCAGAATGCTCCAGGCCTGGGCCCGCTCCTTATGGTTCCCTCAGACCCCTCTCTACACCTCCTTCCAGAGCTCTGCCCTTGTCCCTTGGCTGTTTCTCATGCTCCCCTTCCCCTACTGCTCCCCCACCCCCACCCCCTCCCCCAGAACAACAAGCTGGAGAAGATCCCACCAGGAGCCTTTAGTGAGCTGAGCAACCTACGGGAGCTGTACCTACAGAACAACTACCTGACTGATGAGGGCCTGGACAACGAGACCTTCTGGTAAACCCCCTGCTTGTGCCCTCAGGAAGATCAGGCACCCAGGAAGCTCCTCCCAGGCCCACCCAGCTAGGCCCTCCCACACACATCCCTGCCCCCCTGCCCTGGCCAGTTTCCCGGAGCAGGAACTTTGAGGCTTGTGCCTCTGCTGACACTTCTGTCCCCAAGAACAAGTGATATATACGGGTAGGGCCTGCCAAAATTCCAGGGAGGCAGGGAAGCGTTCGCAGAGGCTGGCTTCTTGGTACACAATAGAAACTCAAACATTCTTGTTGAAGGAAATAGATTTTCAGTTATCTTAGGACCCAGAGTAGACAAAAAAAGGCCTTAAAAAATTGGTCTTCAGATAAATCCCTGTGTGTCAGAAGCCATGCTAGAGCCTTCCTACACTAATGTCATTGAATAACCCAGTGAGAGGCTTGGAGAGGACTGAGGTCCCCCAGTAAGGAAGTGGCAGAACTGGGATGAATTAAAGGCAGTTTCCCTGTCACCTCCCTTGGTAAGATGGTGGAAACAAGAGTGGGCTCCTGCTGTGTGGGCTCTCGCCAACTGTCCTCATCACCCTCGTCCCAGGAAGCTCTCCAGCCTGGAGTACCTAGATCTTTCCAGCAACAACCTGTCGCGGGTCCCCGCGGGGCTGCCACGCAGCCTGGTGCTGCTGCACCTGGAGAAGAATGCCATCCGGAGCGTGGACGCCGATGTGCTGACTCCCATCCGCAGCCTTGAGTACCTGCTGCTGCACAGCAACCAGCTGCGCGCGCACGGCATCCACCCGCGGGCCTTCCAGGGCCTCAAGCGGCTGCACACCGTGCACCTGTACAACAATGCGCTGGAACGCGTGCCCAGCAGCCTGCCCCGCCGCGTGCGCACCCTCATGATCCTGCACAACCAGATCACTGGCATTGGCCGCGACGACTTTGCCACCACCTACTTCCTTGAGGAGCTGAACCTCAGCTACAACCGCATCACCAGCCCGCAGGTGCACCGCGACGCCTTCCGCAAGCTGCGCCTGCTGCGTTCGCTGGACATGTCTGGCAACCGTCTGCACACTCTGCCGCCAGGGCTGCCCCGCAACGTGCACGTGCTGAAGGTCAAGCGCAATGAGCTGGCTGCCCTGGCACGCGGGGCGCTGGCCGGCATGGCCCAGCTGCGCGAGCTCTACCTCACGGGCAACCGGCTGCGCAGCCGGGCCCTGGGCCCCAGCGCCTGGGCCGACCTTGCCCATCTGCAGGTAAAGAGGAGGGCAGGGGACTGGGCTATGAGGGAAGTACCTGCTGGGGAGGCCAGGCCTTAGGATAAGAGGGCTAAGCCATGCAGAGAGTATGGCTGGCATGCCCCATACAGAGTGAAAGGCAGAATATAGCTGGTATGGCCAGGCAGAGCTCACTACCTGCAGGCTCGAGAAGGGCTGTGGGGGTAAGGGGAGGTCATGGCTACAGGTAGAGGCCCATGGTTCAGGACTGGGGACAGGGGCAGTTCAGGTGGCAGGAGAGTCAAGCTCACCCACTTGTAGTCACAGGAATATGTGCCTAGAGCCGGCTTGTCTTGGGGGAGGGGAGGGTGGCAAGGCCCCAGAGGTGGTCTGCAGAGGGCTGGGGGAGTCCACTTAGGTGTTCTGAGCAGTGGATGTGGCTGTTGTGGCCATGGTTAGAGTCAGGCAGGATGTCTGGCTGTAAGAATGGAGCTTTGGCTCAGTGGTTGAGCGTCGGCCTGCCGACCAGAGAGTCCCGGTTTCGGTTCCCGCTAGGGGCACGTACCACCAAAAAAAAAAAGAAGAAGAAGAAGAAGAAGAAGAAGAAGAAGAAGAAGAAGAAGAAGAAAGGAGCTTACAATGAAACCTCCCGAGTCAGTGAGGGGCCCAAAGGGAACTTCCTTAGAGAAACCTGGGAGACAGGGCCAACATGCTGCCAGGCCCAGCAGGGAGCTTTGGTGCTGTCCTCTGTGTCCCAGGGGTCCTCAGGGCTTGCCCCTCCCTCTTTCTTAATGATCTGCTCAAATGTCACCTCCTTGGGAGGTCTTCTCTCACCGCCTACCACCTTCCTCTGCTTTGTTTTTCTTCTTAACCCTCATCCCTCCCCAGCATTAGGTCATCTGTTTGCTTGTTTGTTGCTCTTTCCTCTAGAACAAGGGCAGGCATTTTAGTCTGTTGTGTTCACTGCTGGACCCTGGGCCCTGGCCTGGTAGGCCCACAGTCCATGCTTGTGGGGGGAGCCGTCAGGATAGGGATGTCTGGCCCAGCCTGTGTGGCTTAGTGGTTGAGCATCGACCCAAGCAGGTCGCTGGTTCTATTCCTGGTCGGTGCACATGCCCAGATTGTGGGCTAAATCGAGGGCATGCAGGAGGCAGCCAGTAGATATTCTCTCTCATCGATGTTTTTATCTCTCTTTCCCTCTCTCTCTAAAATCAATAAAGAAAAAAAAAAGATAAGGATGTCTGAGTGGGGGGCAGGGAGGTGAGGCAGAGCCCTGAGGAAGGAGCAGGGTGGGGGTAAGAGGAGGCAGCTGGCCCTCCCAGAGCAGCATTAGCGGGGGTCTCTCCTCACCCAGGCCACCCTGCGAGTGCCAGACACCAGGATTCAGCCACCTGTGCTGACCAATCCCTCTTAGGTATACCCCAGGAACCCCGTTTTCAAGGGGCCCAAACCCCATTATCCTCTCCTTCACACCCACTCCTACTGCATTTTCTAATTCACTAAAGGGGGTGACATCACCCCTGATGCCCACATGATACCTGGAAGCTGCCCTTGACATCCCCTTTGCACACCATCTGCCCCACAATGCCCCTTGTTACTACCCCTGCCAGTTCTACCATCACGTCTCAATCTGCCCACTTCTCTCCACCCCTGCTACTCATACCACTAGCCAGCCCGCCCCCATTTCTTGCATGGATCCAAACTTCCTAGGGACTCTCTACTCCTACACTCCATATACAATCAGAGGGCATTTTGAAAAACTATGCTCAGCTTGCGCTCCTGCCCAGAACCCCCCATTGCCCTTAGAACCCAGATCAGAATCCTTGCCACTGCCTTCAAGACCTGCTCTGCCCTGTTCCCAGCTGAGTTTCTTATTTTCCCAGGCGAACTGGGCTTTGCTCACACCAGCCCCTCTGCTGGAAGCACCCTTTCCACCCTGGTGACACCTACTCATTCATTCCACAAGTCTGAATCCAGCCCCATGACACAGTTCTAGAACTGAGGACCCAGCAGGGAGGAAGACAGATGGAGGGCCACTACTCTCCTGGGGTGTGTAACACACCTAGGACTCAGGTGTCGCCTCCTCTGGAAGCCATTGGTGATGGAGAAAGGAAAAGCCTCCTTGGGCCTAGATGAGTTCCGTCAGGGATGTGTTGGGGGCAGATTCTTCCTCTCACTGTTGGGTCTTTTTTTTTGTTTTTATCCTCACCCGAGGACATTTTCCCATTTTTTGTTCAGATAGAGCGGGAGGGAGAGAGAGGAAGAGAGAGAGAGAGAGAAACATCGATGTGAAAGGGACACATCGAGTGGCTGCAACCCGCACGACCAACCAGGGCCAGGGCCAACCAGGGCCAGGGCCAAACTGCAACCGAGGTACATGCCCTTAGCGGGAACCGAACCCAGGTCTCTCTGTGCCGCAGGCTGATGCTCCAACCGCTGAGCCAAACCAGCCAGGGCACTGTTGGGTCTTTTTACACGCAGCTGTTCCCACTACTTCAGAGCCCCTACCTGCACTGGCTGCTGGTGCCCCTGACCCAAGGCTGAGTCAGGCTCCTCCTCTAGGGGGCCTCATCGCAGCTCCATTCCACTGGCTGTCATTGTCAGATCCTGTGTCTATCTCCCCTGCCAGCTTGGCTTCCTGAGGGTGGAGGCAGCGGTTCAGTGGATTTTCTATCCCCGGCACCTGTGGGCACAGAGGAAGTGTGCAACAAATGAGGAGGTGTTGGAGCTGTGTGAAGGGAATACTGGGGAGCAGGGAGCCACATGTGTAGGGAGGTGACGGGGAGGCTCCCTTTGGTGCATGGAGCTTGTGCTTCCCTTGAATGTGGAATCTGGGTTCTTGGCCCCAGCGTCAAGACTCTGAGCCCCGTTTGTTGGGGTGAGGAAGGGAGCGTAGCGATGATGGAGCCCCGCCGGGGCTGTACAGTGTATGTTGGATGAAAGTGTGCTGACAGCTGAGGGCAGTGAGCTGGGCCCATGCACATCCAGGTCTCCTGCTCCCTGGGAAAACCACCCCATTTTTCTAGTTTCCTGCTTCCTGGATTGTAGGCATGTGGTAACTTTGAGGTTGACCCCTGCCCATATTGCCTCTGAGGTCCATAAATGAGCAGCCCCACCTTGTGGCCCCCAACCCCATACTTCTCTGGGATCAGTGGGGCAAGTTTCAAAGACTGGAGGATCCTTGGCCCCCGCCCTCCGGGGTCTTTAGTCTGATGGGGATGACGTGTGTTAATGAGGAAGGACTGTGATGTCCAGACATCCTGGTGCGAATCCACGTGGGAAGGCAGAGGGAGCCGGGTAGAACAAAGATCTGGAGTCAGGCACACCGGGTTCCGGCCTTGTATAAGCTGTGTGGCCTTGAACACATCTCTGAGCCTCTGAGCCTCTAAGCCTCTATTTCCCCATCTGGAAAATGTGGAAAGTTATAGATCCCACCTCACAGGGTAATGTGAGATTTAAATATGTTTCGGGGGATTAGTGAGGGGTCTTTGCAAGTTGTTAAGTGCCTTTACTTCCCTGGCCACCCCTGCAGCTGCTGGACATTGCTGGGAATCAGCTCACAGAGATCCCCAGGGGGCTACCTGAGTCGCTTGAGTACTTGTACCTGCAGAACAACAAGATTAGCACCGTGCCTGCCAATGCCTTTGACTCCACACCCAACCTCAAGGGGATCTTTCTCAGGTAGGAGGTCCCCTGTGGCCCTGCACACGCCCCCCTGGAGCCCTCCCTGGCTCCATTGGGATAGTCCAGGCATGTGGGAACAGCTTGCAGGTAGAGGTCAGCGTTCAAAGCCAAGTGGTATATAAGGACATTGTTGATGTTATGGTGTCAAGAAGGGATCCCAGAGAGCATCTTCCCAATTTACAGCTGGAAAAACTGAGGCCCAGAGAGCATAGGTGATGCTGGGTCCACAGCTGGCTGGGCTGTGCCTGGGCTTCAGACCCAGGACCACAGGTGTTCAGGTCTGCACTGGGCTCTGGGGATTTAGAATGACTCGGGGGACCCACCTCCCCAAGGAGATGAGGAGTTTCCATACAGCAGAGCCAGAGTGGTTCTTTCTGACATCCCCACCATCCAGTCCCTTACATCAGAAAAGAGACATCAGAGAAAGGAAGAATGTGCATTCCCAGGGGCTTGGTGGCCCAGAAGGCCCCAGGCTGGGTGACATTGGGGCAGAGTATGACCTGTGCTTTGGCTCCTGCAAAAGACTGAGGCATAGAGTTAGGGGACTGGGGACCAGAGCCCAGCCTCTGCCTTCCCACAACCTGTGTGTCCCTGACCCGGCATGGCTCTGGCCTGCCCGCGACCTCACATCAGGCACCAGGGTGATTCCAGGGCCAGTGGTCTCAGGCCTTGGAGTTAATTCCAGAGGGCAAGCGAGAGGAGGTTCCCATGTGCCACCCCCAAATTTCAGTGAGAGCCTCTGTAGTGGCAAGCCTTACCCTCACTTTGTGGGTGAGTAGCCCAGGGTCAGCCCCTGACCTGCCAAGCTTTAGCCACACTGGACAGCTCAGACTGCCCTTGATACGGTGCCTCCCAGCCCCCTGCCTTTTGTGTTTGCTGTGCCATCTTCCTGGAGGGCCCGTTCCCTCCCCTCCACCTTCTGGGGTGGGAGAGTGGGGGACTCTGAGGGCTGGGCTCCCAGCACTGACCCCATGTGGGCGCCGGGCAGGTTTAACAAGCTGGCGGTGGGCTCCGTGGTGGAAAGTGCTTTCCGGAGGCTGAAGCACCTGCAGGTCTTGGACATAGAAGGCAACTTTGAGTTTGGTGACACTTCCAAGGACCGGGACCAGTTGGAAGAAGAAGAGGAAGAGGATGAGGAAGATGAGGATGAGGAGGAAGAGGAAAGGCGATAGTGATCAGGTGAACAGGATCTGACATGGGCGTGTGGTCTGTGTGGGGGCGCACTCACCTCTCCTTGCCAGTTTCCTGTCCCTGACCCAGTCTAGGGTCTTTCTGTCCATTCTCCACCCTCTGTCCTGTGCTTCACCGTTCGTTCTGTAAACCTGTAAGAGCATTTGGTGTGCACAGGCCGAGGTGGGAGGCTGGCCTGTGCCGGGGTTCTCTGCAGGGTGCTGAGCGCCTGAGGTGGAGGAAGCAGGGAGGGGACATGTGGGCCCAGGCAGAGGCGGCCGTGATCTAAGCCAGAGAAGGGGGTGGGGGGGTAGGAGGTGAAGATGCAGAAAAGCAGGTGGGCCTGAAAGGGTGGGGGGAGCAGACGTGAGTAGTCCCTCCGGACATAGATGAGGGAGAGACAAGGCCCAGGTTCCAGCTTGGAATTCAGGGTGGATGAGAACAGGTTTGTTTAGGGGAATATTGAGTTTGAGGGGCCTGAAAGGCACTGGGGGAGGTGCCCAGGGATGGGTGTGGGGTTCAGAAGTGAGGTCTGGGCTGGCAGTGGGGATCTAGGCATCATCAGCCCAAAACAGTCCCAGGGGCTGCAGGAGGCTGGGGGAGTCGCCTACCTGGGGAGAGTGTGAGAAGGCAGGGCCAGGGGCAGGGGAGCCTGCAGAGGGGCCTGCGATGGAGCAGCTAGGGAAGGAGGTAGGAAAGGACAGACGGCCCAGATCAGAGAGTGTTTACACAGACATGTGACACAGGCACCTGCACGTATACACAGTGCACCACAACACATATGTCCCCATGCTCACTCACACACGTCCAAAATATGTGTCCACAAAGCACACATTTGTGGAACACACATTGCACACATTTATGGGTGTAGAACATGTACACACATGCATCCCCATGCACATGGGCCCTTATGTGCACACACGGGCACACACATTTATATATATGCAGGTTGCGTGCACACACATTATGCATCCCTGAGCAGGGGGAGCACCAGCTGTGTCAGTGCTGCTGAGCTGCCGAGGGAGCTGAGCACTCCAAGGACCCACTGCCTGATCCAGGACAGTCACCCCGGACCTTGTAGGGAGCAGCCGCAGGGCAGTGGGGTAGAGAAAGCGGCTGGAAAGGAGTGGATCCAGGGAGTGTAAACAACTCTACCAAGAAGTTCGGCTGTGAAGAGATGAGAGAGGGTGGTAGTGGGAAGGGGCGAGAAATTCAAGCAAGGCTCAGTTCACGTTCGGCCTTTTCAAGGACTGGAGGTGGTTTGAACGCTGATGGGGACGGCCGTGTAGAGAGCGGAGTGAGGCTCTGAGGGGAGAATGGGCTGTAGTGTGACCCCTGTGGAAACAGTAGGAGAGATGGACTTCGGTAGGAGGGTCATTGCTCCTTCCACTGTGGCAGGAGGGACAGAGGACTAAGTAGCTGCAGTCACAAGTTAGTGTCTTGGTGGCAGGACATAAGGTCACGTCGGCCAGATGCCTTCAGCCTTCTGTTTTCTCTGTGCAGCAGGAGGTGCTCAGCAGGCAGGGGTGGGTGTGAAGATGGACAATTGGATCGTCCATGGCTGGGGTTTTGACCAGGCATGTGGGACAGGAGGACTAGGAACAAAGACATGGAGTATGTTGGCAAGAGACTGTCCGCAGTGGTGGATCCTGGGGGTTAGGCTGGGGAGGGGGTGCAGACAGGAGGGGCTGGCAGGCAGGCTGCTGGAGGAGAGGGTGGAGGAAGGCACTGGAGATGCTGGCCAGTAGGCAGGTGGAGAGGTTTGGGTAGAGGGTAGAAGAGTGAGCCAAGTCTGGGGACAGGGCCAGGTGCAGCTGGGAGGCCACTGGGCTGCTCTTAGGAAGTGGAATTGAAGTAGAGCCTGGGGCAGAGAGGAGCCTGCGGGGTGTGAGGACCCCCGGGTAGTGACAGAGGTGGGTAGAAGAGTGTGCACAGGGGCAGTTGTGTGAGTGTGGAAGGTGGGCCCGGGGCAGTGCTCGGGAGTCATCTTCCTCTGCTCCAGGGTCCCAGCTATGAATGCGGAGCCCCTTCTCTCTAGCCACTATCCTCAGTCAGAGCCAGGGGTCAGCAACAGGGGTGACTGGCCACTCAGTGAGGATGCTGTGGACCTCACAAGGGGCGTGTGGAGTCCTGGGATGGGAGAAAATCTGCCCCTTCTGGAGGACATGGCCATGCTCGGGTCAGTTGATCAGAGCCCTGGGTGAAGCCCTAGGAGTGTCCAGTGGCACCCGAAGGCCCTTTAGTTTACACCAGGCCTGGCCACAGCGACACGAGCACTGCCCACTGGCTCTGGGCTCCCAGGGGCAACTTGCCCTCCTGCCCACAGTTGATCCTCCCAGAGCACCGTCAAGTGGGCTCCCCAGCTCTGACCCACCTCCCACAGGCAGGTTGTGGCTGGCAGGTCTGCTCTGGCCTCCCTGACTCTCCCACATGTTCTGCAGGACGATGGACATCTGGACCCTTTTCTTCAGCACGTGCCTGTGCCCTGTGAGCACCCACTCTGCCACTCTCCAGACACACCCAGCACTGCACCCCCACATCTCCCCAGTACAAGCTGAACGCACAGTCTCCCATCCTCACCCCTTTCTACAGTTTGTGCCATAGCCAGATACAGATACCATGGCACACCCACACACAGCCAGCTGTACATCGCCCCCCAAAGGGTCCCTCACCCACCGTCGCCATCACTCCCTCCGAATCATGCAGACTCAGGGAAGGGTCTGACCCCACCCCGGCATACACGGGCTCCCACTTCTTCCTCCATGCACCCCCCACACACACACACGTCACGTGCAGACAGCCCTCCTCGGCCTGTGCCACCAACAGCTCTTGCCCCAGCCAGAAGTGGCCAGAACAGCTTGCTGTCTGCCTGTCCGTCTGTCCGTCCATCCTCTGGAGAAGACACAGAGTTGTCTCCGAGCTCTCTGCGGCCAGGTGCCTGCTGCCCTCTGGAATTCACAAAAGCTGGCTTTTGTTCCTTTCCCTCCCTCTGGGGACAGGAACCTCAGGACTGCTGCCCTGGCCACACCCACCCTGTGTCACAGCCCTGGGAAGCCACTCCCTGCCCTGCCCTGGCTGGTCACAGGCAGAGCCAGAGGGAAATTCCCCTGGGACCGCCAGGGCCATGGGCAGGGGCGAGATGGAAGTCGTTGGGCTGGGCTGAGTGAGGAGGAAGGGCCCGGCCCCACCCTTGAGACACCATTTTTATTCTTTGGGCCTGCAGGGAGTTCTGGGTGCCCTTTTTTTTTTAAAGAAAAAAAGGATAAAAACCTCAAAGCTGATTTTTTTTTTTGCTACAGAAAAACTAATATAAAAGCATTAGTCCTGTCTGGCAGCCCAGGGCCCTGACTGTATGTGCTTCCTGCCAGGTGCTGAGCTGGCGCCCAGCCAGGGTGGGCAGGGTACAAGCACCTCAGCACCTGTCCAGACTAGCAGGAGTCAGGGCAAAGTTCAGTTCTTGAGGCCTACAGAATAGTCCCATAGGCAGAGGTCCAGGACACATGGTGTAGTCACAGGTAAGGAGGCCCGAAGCATGAGTGACCCATTAGCCTGGTGGGGGTCGACAGGTCGGGTGGGCCCACCACACGGGGCCTGTGAGCTCACTGTGTACTCCCAGAGGCTGGGCATCCAAGCAAAGGATCTGCCAGCGTTGGGCTGCTCCGGGCTCACCTGGAGGGTCGCCTGTGCACTGAGTGGGCACTACTACTGGGGTGTGTCCCAGAGAAGACAGCTGAGGTGGGAAGAGGACCCGAGGTAGGCCTGGGAGCTAGAGCAGAACCTTGGGAAGAGGTGCAGACATGGCCAGTGTGCCCACCACCCCAGCAGGGCCAGAGCTGGGACAGGGGTGTGGTGGGGACAGCACCCCGCTCAGGGCGAAGAAGAGCTCTGACAAGCAGAGCTGGCCCTGGATGAGATGCCCAGGAAGTAGTGACCCCACTCCCAGAGGCTGCAGCACACTCCTGCTGAGCCCAGTCAAAAGCCGATACCTGCCTTGTGGTGGATCAGACTCCACTGCTCCAAGGGCCTTAGAGGTGTGACACAGGGAAGGAGCGAATAAGCCCTCACGTGATGGTGGGAGTGACCATGGCTTGACATCTGACCTCTCCTAGCTGTGTAGGCCTTAATGCAGGAAGGATGCTCTCATGGTGGGTCCTACAGCCCCAGCGCTGCGGAGGGAGGGGGATCAGGGTCAGGGCCCTTCCTGGACTCTTCAGTGTATGGCCCTGGGAGGAGAGTGGGAAGTAGTTCAGGAATTGAGGCTGGGAGGCAGGTGCTGTCCTGAGTCTCTGACCTTGGGAGGCCTGTTCCTCCCCCAGCTGCAACGTAACCCCACCACCACCACCACCTGGAGCTACTTCTCCCCAAAGTGCATCCAGAACAGGCTGTGCGGCCAGGGTTCACCTCCGCCCGCCGTGAGCCTCCTGGAGGCACCTGGGGCTGTCCTTGGGGATGTCCCGTTCCTTAAAGCAAAGTATTTGCCAAAGGGAGCCCAGCTGGCTGAGGAAACTGTTTCTTTTGTGGTGACTGATCTCAGGGCCTGCAGAGCAAAACACGGGCTGGGGGCAGAGAGATCCAACCACACTGTGGCTGTCGAGACAGGCGGTTTGCACTCAGCCTCCTGCATGTGACAGCTGACAGGCCTGTCCTCACTGTGGCCAGCCAGGCAGGCTCATCTGCACTCTGGCTGCTCAGGAAGGCCTACCCACACACTGACAGCCCAGACAGACCTGTCTATGGTCTAGCCACACAGACAAGCCTGTTTGTTTTCTGGCCACCTGGACAGGCCTGTCCATACTCTGGCTGCCCTGACTGGCCAGTCGGCACTGAGAGCCTATGTTAGTAAAGAAACCCTGGCAAGAGTATGGTCGCTAAGCCTTCAAGACTTGAAAAACAAAACACCTTTATTTAGTCGTCACTGAATTTGCACACACAGAAAGGAATATGAAATCTAATTCTACTTTATCCAACAGGCTTTTGGGGAGCTCTGTCCCCAGAGCCACTTGAGCAGCTTGATCAAAGCATCCCAGGTGAGCCCGCCTCTGGGTCCTGGCTGGCCTGCCCACCCAGTGGGAGGCTGGCCCGGATGTCTCTATGGGCCCCTGCAGCCCCAGTAAAGACATTCCATTTCCACATCAGAAGAGCTTTGAGAGAGATCTGGTGGGATGTGAGGCGACACGGGCTGTGACCCACGGAAGGCAGCAGGCCTGGGTTTGGGGCTGGGCACTCCTTGGGGAGAGCTGTTTGAGGCCACATTATGGGGCTGGGTGGAGGGCTGGCGTGAACCAGGACACAGAGGGGCAGGCCCAGGACACTGCTGTTGCGTCTTCACAGATTGAGAGCAGTGGTGCCTTCGGGGCCCCTGACAGGGGCAGAGCCTGGAGCCTCTCTTGGCACCTGGCCCAGCAGGTAGCCCTGTGCTTCAGAAGGGAGTGGCCACAGCTTGAAACACCTGAGTTGGAGTCCTGGCCTGGACTTGCTTGAGACCTGGGATAAATGTTTTCAGCCTTAACTCTGTCATCCAGAAAGTACAGAGCACAGCCCTGCCTGCTGTCCTCACGGGCCATGCCGGAGGGAAGTCAGTCAGAGCTGGGCTACGCCGCCATCACTCCCCAGCTGGGGTTTCTTCTCTGAGACTCCATGTTCTGTCGAGTGGAGCGAATTCCCAGCTCTCAAGGGTGGGAAGAACGTGTGAGGCTAGTGCCTCTCGGCTGCTCAGGAAAGTAGTAAATTGAGATCATCCCCTTTGCCCAACCCTGGAAGCCTCCCCCGGCCTCCACAGCTCTACAGGCTCAGACATTGGTCTCAAGCTCGCTGATTTCAATGGTGCAGTGGTCCAGGCTGGGGGTAGCCGACTCCTCGTCCTGCTCCACCTGAATGGGGACATGATGGGGACAGGTGGGGCCCAGGGTCAGCTCTGAGGCCTCAGCTACGCTTTTCACACAGCCGTTCTGCTGGGTCGCCATAATCTCCTGGAGGCTCACTGGCTTGGTCTCGCAGAGCTGCAGTTTCTGAGGAAGGAGATAGGCCTTAGTAGCAGCAGGAAGGGCTGAGGGTAGACACCAGGGAGGACTGAACAAGCAAGGGCTGGGAACCACGCCATCGGTTTTCCTACTGATGTGCGCGGGACCTTGGTAGGTCACAAAGCCTCTCTTGGTTGTCCTGCCTCCTCCTGGGGCTTTCTTGGTAGAGGAGGGGACCTGACCCACAGGGTCCATGAGAGAATTGGGTCCCCTGCCTGAGCCTCAGCATCCTCCCCGTGGAGAGGGGCAGCCTGTTACTTGTAGTTACTAAAGGAGCCCTGAAGACCATGAAGCCCTGTGCAGAAGCACAAACATTCGCTTGGCTGTCGGCAGGACCAGCACCAGCCCGCACTAGGGCACAGCTCCCCGAGGACAGCGCTCTGGCTTCCTCTGCTGCTCCTGTGTCCAGAGCAGTGCTGGCCATGGTGGGTGCTCAGCAACTAGCTGTGAGAGGAGTCAGTCACCCATGGTACCAGATGAGAAACTGAGGCAGGGAGACACGGAGGGATTGGCTGAAGGCTCCCAGCTGGCGAGTGGAAGATTGGTGCCCATCCCACCCGGCTCTACCTGCTGGGGTCTTTGGGTGGCCAGGCCGGGAGGAAGACTGCTCTCACCTCGGTGCCGCTGTCCTGAGCAAAGTCCTTCCGGCAGACGTGGGCCATGATCCCGGCGGCCAGTGCATCACCCAGCACATTGATCATGGTGCGGAAGCGGTCCCTGGTGGGTGGTGAGTGGTGGGCACGTGTGAGGGGAGCTGGGAGAGGGCACTGCCCACCCCAGCAGCCCCTGCCCAGCTGCCAGGGCAGAGCGCACAGTGAAGCACTTTCCCGGTCCTCTTCAGCCTGCCACTCCTTCAGTGCTGCTGGCGAGAGTTGATGCAGGCCGGCTTCGTGGGCCTGTGACTGTCCAGTCGCACAGGGGCTGTGCTTAGAAGGGCCCAGGCTTGGTTTAATGGTTTGCTCTCTCTCGACATTTTTTATCATTTGTAAACAAGGGACCCCACATTTTCATTTTTGAAAACTAGGCTCCAAAAATTATGCAGCCAGGCCAGTGTCAATGTGTAAGGCACCCCAACTATGCCAACCAAGGCATTATCCCTGCCCACCCCAAAAGCCTGCTTCCTGAGGGGTGGGGGCAGGTAGGAGCGAACCCCACTCACAGAGCCCAGTCGACAGCGATGATGAGGGTGATGTCGTCAGTGGGCAGTCCCACGGAGGTGAGCACGATGACCATGGTGACGAGCCCGGCCTGGGGGATGCCAGCTGCCCCGATGCTGGCTGCAGTGGCTGTGATGCTGGGGGGGGGGGGGGGCAGGATGCCTTGTTGAGGTCCTGGCTCCAAGGAGGAAGCCAGAATGCCAGCGCCTCTGGGGACAGCCAAATGGGGCAGGAGTTGTCAGGAAGGCCACATCAAGTTCTCGAGGATGGGGGCAGGGGGAACATGTTCCTGCTTGAGGTCCTATAGCCCCATAGGCCCTGTCCCTGGCCTCAGCAGAACCCCTGAGGAGTTTGTGGAAAACCCTGTGTCTGGAGCCGTTGCCTCTATAGGTTTCCAGGAAGCTGCCCAGACATTCTGATCGTCCACAGCTCTTCCCAGCTTCCCTGTGAAGCCTGGACCCCATGGTCAGACCTGTGCCCTAGGCTGGCATGCAAGGCCTTCCCCTTGGCCTCTGCCCCTCACTTCAGCACCCTTCCCTCAGCTCCAGCCACACCAGCAGCCCCTCCATTGTCCCCCAGTCTTGCCCCTGGCCTCTGCTCCCTGCCCTGCATGTCCAGCCTGCAGGTCCTCCTCTGGGTCTCAGCTTCCTAGCCTGCTCAGAGCTCCCTGCCACAGGGAGGAGCCCTGTGCCACCAGTCACAGAGATCAGGTCATGTCCCCACCCTAATGTGGACTCGCTGTGTGGCCTAGAATGAGTCCCTCCCCTTCTCTGGGCCTCAGAGACCCTATCAGACCTGAGAGCTTGAGAATCCTAAAGGCCCTTCCAGCCACCACCCTTCCACCCTAATCCACCTGCTGTGGGGCGTCAGGAGCTCACCTGATGGTGACGATCTGGCCGAAGTCCAGCTCATAGTTGTTGACCTGGGCAATGAAGATGGCAGCCACAGCCTCGTAGAGCGCAGTGCCGTCCATGTTGATGGTGGCGCCCACGGGCAGCACAAAGCGGGCGATGCGCCGGTCGATGTGGTTGTTCTCCAGCAGGCACTTGAAGGTGATGGGCAGTGTGGCCGAGCTGCAGGCAGAGGGGCCCGTGTCTGCCCTCCATCCTCCTCCAGGAGGGTCAGGGCCTCTGGCTTGCCGTCCTGCCAGTGACAGGCAGCTTGCTCCACCCCAGGCAGCCAGCCCATTGCAGGGGGAGAACAGATGGAAGGGGCCTTGAGAACGTCCAGAGTGGCACCCCTTCAGAGGGAGGGACAGTGGCCAAGCCAGGCCTGCCTAGGCCCAGGGCCTCAGAGACCCCCACCAGACTCAGGCCAGGAAGGCACTTCCGCCAGCAGAATGCCTACTATGTGCAGGCTCCGTGCTTTACACACTCACATTCAATCCTCACAGCTTCCTGTGAGGGAGGGGTTTTGAGTCCATTTTACAGATGAAGAAACTGAAGCCCAGAGGGGAGGAGGGGCTGACCCCAAGCCACACTGCTGTGCCAGGCATAGACAAAGTGGTTAACCACAGGGCTCTGAGGCTACAGTGACCCTTCCCAGTCTATAGAGGAGGAACTTGCTGCCCAGAGAGGTCAAGTGACTTGCCCACAGTCACACAGCTGGTGGGTGAGAGAACCATGATCCAAATTCCTATGGGCTAGTGACACTGCCAAGGTTGTGACAAGGCATCTAACTGGATGTTCCAGTGATAGTAGACAGGCAAGGTCCCTGAACAGCACAGGGCCTGACTCCACAGAAGCACCATGTGGCAGCCAAAGGTAACAGTGATTGTAGATTCATTGCTCCTCAGCTCACCCCACCCCCGACGTGTGGAAGCCGACTCCCGTGTGGACTGAGAGAACCTCAGGGACAGGGACGGTGTGGGCAGGGAAAGGCCTCAACAGGTGATAAAGGCTTGCTGCCATTTTTCGTGAAGCAGGCCTCACCGACACTTTTCATGAGTTATGGCTATGGAGAAAGGATGGCTGAACAGATGGGCGGAGTTGAGTCACCACGACCTCCCCTGTTCTGCCCGCCACCCAGGGCTACCTGGAGGAGGTGGCCAGTGCAATGAGCAGGGCCTGAAGCACACCGCGGATGAAGACGACAGGGTTCTTTTTGGTGATGAAGAAGTAGAGCAGGGGCAGGATGAAGAGGCCATGGACCACCAGCCCGCACACTACAGTGACTGCATAGAAGCCCAGCTTTTTTCCGACGGCTGTGGGGTCATCCATCTCCAGGATCTTGCCGGCAATGAGGAACACAATACCAAAGGGGAAGTACCTGTGGTGGCGGCAGGCAGCCAGCTCAGTGCTGGGCCAGTCAGGGTCCCAGATGGCCCTGGCAGGACATCACTGCCTGGCCCGGTCCCCCTGAGCCTGCTGTGAGGATGAATAAGACTGAGTGCCAAAGTGCCCAGCACATGGCATCATTAATACCACCACCCTCAACCAGCCCAGCCCTGCACAATCTCTCACCCTCTGCCTTCCTGTCCAGGCCTCTGAGGAGTTCGCCTGCCCTGTGCAGGCCCATGTTTCAGCCCAGCAACACCACAGGCTCTGTGCATGGGCAGGCCCCTGCATTTCCCCACCTAAACTGTGCAAGGTTGGACCAGAAGATTTGCTGAGGTCTGAGCTCTGAACCAAGGAGTGGCAGCTGGTTCTCACTTCCAGAATTTCCTTCCTCCAAAAGCTGAGCTGATGAGCTCCATGTGATGGGGAAACTAGGCCAGAAGAGCAGGGCCAGGCTCAGCGCTTAGCTCTCTCCTCCAGTGGGCCTGACCGGGCCAGAAGTGGCAGCCCAGGTCTGGAACTAGGCCCGGGCAGGGCTGGGGTCCAGAAGAGCATGTGTGACTCTGGAGGCCCCAGGCCAGGGCTCAGCCTCCTGGGCAGCTCACTCCTAGGAGAACAAAAGATGTGGAGAGGGGTGGGGTAGGAGAGGACACCTCCATCCCAGTGGGGCTTACCACACAGCGACTGCCACGATCTTCATGACAGACTCATTGAGGCACTGGCAGAAGCTGACCAGGGGGGCCCCGCTGTCACCCATGCGGCCCAGCATGATGCCTGTGGAGCAGGGACACATGAGTTAATACAGATTGCACAGGCCGAGATCAAGGCGTGTGTGATGTCTGCACATGCTGACACATGCTGGTGGCAAGGCAGGGACAGACTCCTGTGCACACACAGATCTCACCCTTGGCTGACTTCCCAGCAGCTTCATGCACAGTGTTCCCCTCCTTCTCCTTGGCCCTCACCCCTGGACCAGAGCAGTGACCTTGCAACAGGGCTCTCATGTCTTCCTTCTCTCTAATCCAGTTTCCACATAGTAGCAAGTGTCCTCTTCTTAAGAAAAAAATGCTCCCTGCCAAACACCTATTTCCTTGATGACCAGACTATAACCAGGCCCCACTCCCTCTGATCCTGTCTACACCCACCTCCACCTGGCCCTATTCTTGCCTTCCTCGTTATGCTCTGGTATCACGGGTCTTCTTTACATTTCTAGGCTACATCAGCTCTTCACTGCCTCAGGGCCTTTGCCCATGTAGGTCTCAATGCCTGCAACATGGCTGCCCAGCTCTCCACATGCCTGGGACACCCAACCCCACTCCCCTCGAAAACTCCCAATTTGTTCTCCCTCTTTCTGATCCCTTCATGTCGTTGATCACAACTTGTAACCTATTTTCCAGTTGTCTGTTGTTTCTCTGTCTCCTCCAGTAGAAAGTTAGCTCATCAGCTGGCACATTGTAGATGCTCAACAATAAGCAATGAATGAATGATGACTCAATCAATCAATCAATCAATCAATGACAAAGCCTCTCCCAAGGTCCCTGTTATTCTCCTACTGGGGTTAACTCTTCTCCACTTGGGAAGCTTTCATATGTGTTCTAGTCCACGGGTGAGCTCCATGCAAGTGAGCACAGTCAGGCCACTCTCACAACAGTGACAAGTGACTGCTCTCCCTTCTGTTGACACAAAAATGAAGAGCAAAGCACACTCTGTGGCTGCCCTCAGGAAACTTACTGTCACTGTGCTCAGGGAGGCTCATCAACTGACTCAGCCAGGGAGGGGCAGGGCAGGGACTTGAACCTGGCCTATGGGACTTCAAAGAGGGCCTTTTCCCGACCCCAGGAAACCCTGAACCCACACTGTCCTCGGAACAGCTACCACTGGGGTGAGGTGGGGGCCCCTGCTGGGGTGGGAGGAGCCCAGGTTGGAGGTGACACTGACCTAGTCCTGCCCATCTGGCCTGGGAAGCCTAAGTGAGCTCAGACCCCTGGCATGGCCTAGAAGGACAAGCTAGATTGTTCTGGATGGGTCAGGAGGTGCCCCCTAAAAGGAAAAGGGTGTGTGTGTGTGAGTGGTGCAGGGTGGGGTGGGATGCTGCAGGCAGAGACATATCCATGGGTTTTGTGGGATCTGAAGCTTATAGTTTGGGGCCCTAAGAAAAAAAAATACAAAATTAAAATAAATAAATAAAGGTACAGGCCTCGGAAGGGGCCCGTGCAAGTTAAGCTTCCCGTGCTTCAAGGCTAGTAGCCTGTGGCTGGGGCCTTGGAGATCCAGAGAAGAGTAGCCGAGGGAAGGGTGTGGCCAAGTCGGCCAACTGTGGGCCCAAGAAAAGGCACAGACGTGTCTCAGGAGAGAGGCCGCCCGTGAGAAGCCCCTGGGTTGGGGGTGGGAGGAGGAATAAGGGCTTTACATACACAAGGATGGCTGATGGCTTTGAGACTTTTCCTCTTTTCACTGTGACTCTCCCACTCCCCGGCATCCCCAGACCTCAGTGAAAAGTTCAGCAACAGGAGGCGCCAGAGGCATGGTCTTCTTTGAGGAAGGGCCCACAGCCCTGGAGGCAAACTAGTTCCGAGAGATGGAGAACTCCCCTCCCCGTGAGGAACACTGGCTCCAACTGGGGGGAGCTGGAGCCCTTCCCTGGGTGGGAAAGGAAAGAACCGCCTGGAAGCCAGGAGACTCCAGTCGCTGGGTACAGGGAGGGAGAGGTGCAGGGAGGGCGAGGGGTGAGGAGAGACCGGCTCCCTGGCACTGTGGGGTGGGGTGGGCAGCGCATACCCATGGTGGCAGAGAACATGACAATGCCCAGCACATTCATGCCATCGCTGGTGCCAGGCTCTGACTTGTAAATGACCTCAGGCGGTGGGGTCAGGTCCAGGGCGAAGTTCTGAATGTGAGAGCCATTCTCTTCCTGGACCCCATAGATGAGGATCTGCCGAGAAGAGCCCTTCTCCGATGCCACTTTGGGGAACTTGACAACGGGCGTGGTCTTGGTGCGGTACTGGTGGGCGACACCCCAACCAGAAAGAGTCAGGGCCAATGTTGTTATTAATATCAACAACAACAATAATAACATCTTGGAAGTGCATTTGTATCCACTCATGAACTATTTGATTGATAATAACCCTGTGAGGTAGTCAGGACAGAGATTATTATCAATATTTTACCAAAAAGAAAACCAATTCCTTCATTTATGTACACACTCCCCAGCCATGCCTCTCTCCGTCCCTTATACCCTCTTCTTCCTTCTAAGCATCATTACACCCTTCTGAGTCCCTCTCTAACCCTCTGACTACCTCTTTCTTCATCTACCTGGGTAATTCTTCGTTCATCCATCCATCCCTCCCAACCATCCATTATCCACCCGTCTAACAGTCTGTCAGCCCCGCCTCCGCTGATGGAGACCGGTCCTTCTGCAGCACACCTCATTTTACTGCACCTTCCTTGCTGCGCTTCACAGATGTTGTGTTTTCTTTGTTGTTACAAATTGAAAGCAAGACCCTCCACCAGCAAAACGATTACTAATTGTGTTATTGCAATACTCGTTTTATTGTGGAGGTCTGGAACTTAACCGGCAATAGCTCCAACGTATGCCTGTATTTACTTATTTATTTTATTTAGTTTGTTTCCCCCCACCACCACCCCTGGTATGTCCCCCTAACGGGAACCAAACCCGGGACTCTCTGGTCCACAGGCCGCCGCTCAACTGCTGAGCCAAACTGGCCAGGGCCCTATGCTTGTATTTAAAAAGCTCAACTTGCCCCAAGCCTTCCCGATGAGATGAGGTTCCAGCAGGAAAGAATGGAGCCATTGAGCTGCCTACCTTTTCTCTTCGGCCTCAGGGCATTTCTGGGTCTTCCCCTCTCATTCCTCAGGTGTTAAGATCCCAAACAAGAAAGTTTCCTGTCTTCCCAACACCACCGATTCAGTAAGATAAGCCTTTGGTAGTGGGACTTACTCAGGAAATACATGGGACCTGAGTTTTTGTGCTTCAGTTTCCTTACATGAGGGTCATAATAGTATCTACCTCATTAGATTAAATAAGATAATAAAGGGGTGAGCAAAAGTAGGTTTACAGTTGTTTGCATGGAGAAATATATAATACAAGAATAGATAATAATACAAGGATAAACTCTGTTTCGTGGACTCACAACTGTAAACCTCCTTTTGCCCACCCCTGTGTATGTAAAGTGCTTACAACAGTGCCTGGCATATAGTAAGCTTTATGTAACCATTATTGCTATTATCACCATCATCATCATCATTCCAATACTGAACACTCTGTGCTGGCTGTGTGCCAGGGATACAAAAATGAACCAGATGTGAATTGTTCTCTGAGAGCTTTGGAGAAGGAGTGACTTACTCTGCCTGAGAAGGCCAGACAGCTTCACAAAGGTGACATTTGATTTGGGTCTTGAAGGATAGGTAGGAGTTTGCCAAAAAAAAGAAAAAGCATTCCAGGTTGGTATGAAGTAGAGCAATGTCCTCTCCTTCTATCATATACCATCAGTGATTCCCTACCAATGTTGGAATAAAATCCAAACTCTCTAGTCTAGCATTTAGGGCCCTTCATTATCTGGCTCATTTCATAGTTGAAGACCCAAGAAACCAGGAAAGATAGAGTGAGTAGCCCCAGGTTTCACAACTCCTTATTTGGGAGCCTCTTCTCCAACCCTCAGCCACCTCCTCTGTGTCCCCAGATCCAATGCAGGGCCCAGCACAGGGGAGGGGGCCAGGAAATAACTGCTGGATTAAGTCCACCGACCAGCCAACAATTTAGAATGGGAAAATAATTCGAAACTATTAGAAATGCAGACAACAATTAAAGCACAAAGATGTTTGCCATAATTTTTAGAAGGGAAAACTTTGAAAACCACCTAAATGATCATCAAAAGGGGGGATGGGTAAATGAATTACAGCCTTGCCTTATCACCATAAATATTGTATTTAAAAAAACACTTAATGCCCAGCTGGTGTGGCTCACTGGTTAGCATCAACCCACACACCAAGATTCAATTCCCGGTCAGGGCACATGCCCAGGTTGTGGGCCCGATCCCCAGGGGGGGGCATGCAGGAGGCTGCCAATCGATGTTCTCTCTCATCGATGTTTCTCTCTCTCTCCCCCTCTCCCTTCCTCTCCCTCTAAAATCAATAAAGAAAAAATAAAAGAAAATAAATAAAAACACTTACTAATTGGGGAAAATGCTCATGTTATAAAGGGAATGGGGGGAAAGCACGATGAATGCTGTACATGTGCTATGACCCTAGGTTTACTTTGAACAACATATTTATTTAGAGAAAAAAAGACTAGAAGCATACCAACTACTACCACTATTGCTAGGTGCTGGAACTGGTGATGATTTTTATTCTCTGTTCTATATTTTTTAGTATTTTTCTAATACTTCTAGTGAATATTACTGTTATTCTTATTAGGGGGAAAGCATTGTTTTAAAAAGAAAGAGAAAACAGGCTTAGAAGCAGACAGGCCCAGTTTTACCTACTAGGCTATTGTTTACTAGTGGTACAGCCTTGGGCAAATCCTTTAATCCTCCAGGCCTCAGTTTCCTCGTCCAGGGAGGGGTTAACCCTACCTGGGGGCAGGTTGTTTTGAGGTCTGAGTGAGGGCTTTGTAAACCCTGCTGTAAACCCAGAGTGGAGCGGCACTGTGCAAAGTGGAGTTCCACCTCACACTATTTCTTCATGCAAAGCTGGAGCCCAGCGCTGGAACGTGGCACGTGGCCTCGGAAAGCTCTAAGGATCTGGGTTACCCCCTCCCCTCCCCTCTGGCATCCTGCCCCCAGGAAATGGGGAGACTTGATGGTAAATCTGTCACTACCCAGTTGGTCCCAGGCTGCTTTGCCTGCCACTCCTCCATCCCCTAGGGACCCACTCACCTGTTTGAATGTGGCTTCTACCAGGTTGGCCGGGAACATGTTCCTGGAAAGAGAGTCAGGGATTAAGGAATTCCAGAGCCTGGGACAGAGCTTGGGATCATCTGAACACCTCCCTCAGCAGTCAAGACCCTCCAGGGCCCAGCCCCACCTCTCTCTGCAGTGTCACCTCCTCCCACCGCCCCCCTCCCCCCAGTACTTAATGCTCCAACACCAACTATATATACTCCCCTAAGCAGGCTGTATCCTTTTCAGCTCCAGTCCTCTGTTCACACTGTTCCTTCTGCCTAAAATGCCCTTCCTGCTTCTCTAACTCCTACTCCAATCAATCAGAGGCCAAGCCTTCTCTGACTGCTCCAGGCTGACTGTGGGCCCCTCCCTGGAGTCACCTGCTGGAGCACACAGCATGGCTCTGGCTCCCATGTCTGCCTCCCCCCAGACTGGCTTCCTTGAAGGTGGCACCTGGTTTTCAGATCTTATCTGTGGTGCCCGACCCAGGACCTGGCACACGAGTGGTATCATTATCCTTCTTAATATTATTCTCACAAAGCTAAAGGAGGAGAGAGTCTTGTCCTACCAGATATGAAAACATACTATAAAGACGTTATTGTCAAACAGTAAAAAACTGACACAGCCATTAACACAAAAATAAACCTAGGCCATCTAAGTATTTTATATTTGACAAAAGTTGCTTCACAGATCAGTAAAGAAAAGAATTCATTATAAAGAACTATCCAGCCAACCAACTATTCAGAAAAATAAAAGTTAGATCCTGATTTATATTTTGCAGCCATGTAAATCCCAGGTGGTTTAAAGGAATAAATAATTTTAAGAATGCAATCATAAAAAGCTAAAACAAAATATAGATTAATATTTTATCAGATCTCAAGATATGAAAGGACTCTTTAAGAGCAAAATGAACAACAAAAATGAACAGATGGCCCTGGCTGGTTTGGCTCAGCGGTAGAGCATTGGCCCGTGGACAAATGAGTCGTAGGTTCGATTCCGGTCAAGAGCACATACCTTGGTTGTGGTTTGTCCCTGGCCCTGGTCAGGGTCGTGTTGGGGCAACTAATCAATGTGTCCCTCTCACGTCGATGTTTCTCTCTCTCTCCCTCTCTCTCCCTCCCACTCTGTCTGAAGCTAGATAGAAAAGTATCCTCCAGTGAGGATTTAAAAAAAAAAAATGAACAGATAGATGTGCCCTGGCCAGTGCAGCTCAGCTGGCTGGAAGTCGTCCCATGCACTGAAAGGTTGCAGTTTGATTTCCAGACAGGGCACAACAACAAAATTAACAGACATTACGACATTAAAATGAAGAATTTCATAAGTACAATATACTATACTGGATTGGGTTCTGGGACAGAAAAAAAGGACATCAGTGGAAAAACTGGTGAAATCTGAATAAGGTCTGTAACTCAGTTAATAGTTGTACTAATTTAATTTTAGTTGTGACAAATGTGCCAGTTACGTGAGTGGCTAACATCAGGGGACGCTGAGTGAAGGGCACATGGCAACTCTGCACTATCTCTGGAACTTTTCTGTAAACCTGAAATTATGCCACAATAAAAAGCTAATAAAATAAGCTCTCTAAGACAGGTTACCACACAAATAAAATGAAAGCAAACGACAAACGGGAAACTGTATGACAAAGCATTATCATCCAACAGGTATAAAGACATTTTACAAATCTTGTCCTTGTCTCCGAGCTCACTGTCTGTCTCTTCTCACCAGAAATGGGCTCCCTGCAGGGCAGAGGTCTGTTTTGTTCAGTGTTGTGGCCCCAGCTCCTGGGAGACTGCCTGGCACACGACAGGCACTCAGTAAATATTTGCTGCTGCATAAATAAATGGACCACAGAAACATTAATACCCCAACAGAAAAACAACTGAAAGTCATAACCAGGCAATTCGCTTCGCCAAAGAAGAAACATAAGTAGCTCCGAAAGCCCTTTAAAAACGGTCGGCTTCATCAATAAATTAAAGGCATGGCCACCATCAGGCTGGTAAAGATGACAACACACGATGCTGAGGAGGTGCGGTGATGTGGGCACCTCACCTGGTTCTGGAAGCAACCTTTCCAGAAAGCAGTTAGTAACCATCTGGAGGGGCTTGAAAGCATTACGTCTTTGTCTTTACAAGCTGCGTCCGGGGATCTGTTGTAAATCGGAGATTCTGGTTGACGTGCGTGCCCCTCCTGGAGCGGGCCACTGTCTCTCTCTCCCTGCCTCCTCCACCTGGGTTGTCTCTCGCATTCAATCTTCTTGGCAAATCTCTTCTCTTCCAAGACTGAGCTCACACATAAGTGGATTTGTATATGTAAATATGAGTGTGCAGTATTTATTTATTTTTTTAATTGATTTTTTTTTTAGAGAGAGAGAGAGAGGAAGAGAGAAAAGCATCGACGTGAGAAAAAAACATCGATCGGCTGCCTCTTGCACACCCCCTACTGAGGATTGAGCCTGCACCCCAGGCATGTTTCCTGGCTGAAAATCGAACCGGGTTCTCTCAGTCCATGGGATGACGCTCAATCCACTGAGCAAGTATTTAACTTTACACCCCAGCAGCCACTACTGGAAAGCAGAAACTGTCATTTTTTTCACTGCTGCTAAAATACAGGTTTAGTGTGAGCATGTGGCCGGAGCAAGAGGGCTTAGAATGAGCTCCTGAGGCAGAAAACTGCGAAAGGATGGTCATGGCTTTCCCCTCTAATGTCAACTTTGTCACAAGGGAGAAAAGAAGCAGAGTTGAGAACTGAGCTCGAAGGAGCTCAAGAGAGGCTTTTTCCCCTAACGAGTTATAAGCAGATTTCTGTCACCAGAATAGTAGCTGCCTGCAAGGGCTTTTGACATGAAGCAGACCCAAAGCACACGCCAGGCACACAGCCTGCCAGGGTGCCACGGTCCACCAGCCCTGGGTGCTCGTGACCAGGTGGAGGACGCCCACGCTGTACTGATTGCTAATAGTCTGAAAGCTCTCCTGGGTTCAGCTCCAGGAGGTTCCAGTGACTTACAAGTTGGTTTTCTCATGTAACTTGGTGGGAAGGCTGCTGCTTCAGCCTGAGCAGAAACGAACAGAAACTAAGAGCAAACCGAATGGAACTCACCTAATATGTACATTTCTTTACAACTTCCTTTAAAATAAGAATAATTTAAAATGTGTGCTGTGGCAGGGATGGTTAGTTGCCTAACCAGTCTCCATTCTCTCTCCTTCTTTACTAACAGAGGCCCTGGGATATTATGGGGACCAACAGGACCCTGCCATCAAACCCTATTTCCCAGCCTCTCTTGCCTAAGAGGTGTCCGATGAGATGTAAGCAGGAGTCAGTAGGTGATGTTTTTCCAGGAAACTTTTGAAAAGGTGCCCACTCAGCCAGGACCCTTGGATCCTTTCCTCCACCTCTCTTCTCTCTGCCTGGAGCATGGACATAGTAGCCAGAGCTGCAGCAACCTTCTTGGACCACGAGACACACTGATGATATAAGCGAAGTGCTCAGAATAGTACAGCACAAAGGTGGAGGGAACCCCTGATCACCACAAACGGCCCACCTCGGGACTGATTATTTGGGAGAAAAATGCAAGCCTTTACCTTCCTCAAGCCTCTGCTGGTTCAAGGTTTTCTTAACTAGCATCCAAAGGCAATTCTTGACTAATGCACGTACTCACACTAATCATCAATGAACATCTCCTGCAGATTTTAAAATAGAATTTACTTTTGATTATTAAATAGGAAAAATTACAACTTTTGTGTTGGTTTTAAATACCCATGGGAAGCCTTCCTGTCTGCTCATGAGGCCTGTGATCCCAGGGGCAGTTACAGAAAATGCAGACGTAATGGGCCTGGGAGACATTCACAGCCACGGCCATCAGGTACACATTCCCTCTGTCCTGGGCCTGCACACCTCTCGGGGCAAGGCCACCATTCGCCTCTGGGCTCCTCTCCTCACTTACTGTGTATAAGCTCCCACTGTGAGAGCTCCAAACTCGCCCTAACTCCACGTCCCGCCCCCGCCCCCAAGGTAGGACTGGCTCCTCTCCAAGCACAGCTCCCAGGAGCTTCATCCAATCCCTGAGAGGATAACAGGGAGCTATAAATAGAGCCAAATCATTACTTAATCTCTCTGGTGTTTTAATATGAAGGGGGGGGTGGGGGGCACTAGAAGCTCTGGCCCTTGTTCTGCCCGGGTTTTTCTGTGAGGCTACTCCGTGAGCAGGCTCAGTTTCCTGGAGCCCCGGGAAGTGAATTCCTGCCTCGGCAAGTCATCCAGGGACACAGCCTGTTGTGTCCCTCTGGAGCCGTCCTTGAGACAGGCACACATCTCCCCACGCCTGGGGTGTGCTGTGGGCCTTATTTCTCTGTTCGGTTGGCACCATGTCTTCTTAGCATTCCATTTGTCACAGCTGCCCCCAGTTCCCAGTCCCTTGCCCCGGTCATCGTGTTCTTGGTCAGTTTTCAACTCATGGTGGGCATCTGCTCTGGGTCGGAAGAAGAGCAAAGGGGCCCTTGGTGCCCTCACTGCTGGTGCCCACAGTGTACACACAGCCTCTCAGGACGTCGGAGCTAGAAAGGGTCTGAGAGTGGCTGTCCAGTGCGCTCTTCTCATCTGTCTGTCCTGAGATGGTGACAGCCTGACGCAGGGACTTGTGTTTACCCCACTCCACCCCCAGCTCTCAGCACAGTGTTTGCCCCCAGAGCAGGTACTTACTAAAGGTGGGTTGAATGGACTGGAATGGACTGCACTCTCCCAGGGCATCCCCATGGACAGTTACATCCTGCTCCAATCCATCCTCCCCAAACTCACCAGCTTCTTGTTTCTAAAGCACAGTGGCCAAGCCCTCCTGGAATCAAGGTCTTCAAGGTTGGGCTCTGCACTGTCTTTACCTCATCTCCCAGAACCCGCCTCCAGAAGCTTCTGCTCATGTCCTGCAGCCTCCTCACTGGATGGGAGGCCTTTGTGTTTCAGAGCCACAGAACTAGAAGGGATCTTGAAACCCACTGAGGAAACTGGGGTCCAGAGAGTGGGACTGGCCTGCCCAGAGCCACACAGTGACTCACTGGCAGAGCCGAGACGAGAACGCACATTGCCAAGGTTCTGGCTCGCTGTCCCAGGAAGCCTGCATCTCCTCCCGCAGCCCCTCTCTGGCTAGGAAACAGTGACAGCCATTCGCTTTGCAAAACAACTTGCCTCGAGGCTGACAACGACTGGGAGAAAAGCCTGAAACCAGAGGATCAATTTTCACCACGTGAAAAGGAACTGAGAGCTCCTGGAACATTTGACTTGGACACGTGTGCCCGCTCCAGAGCCCTCATGCCCTGAGCAGGGGAGGCAGCGGTGGGTGGGCGGGGGCTCCCGAGCATCAGCAACTTCTTCCACCATGAGGGAAGACATTTGAATCGTAGAATCCAAGAAACGATGAATCATAGTCACCAAATCTTAGCAACAACAGATCTTAAAAATGAAACTTCTCGAAATTCCTCTTCCCTTGGCTTCCAGGACATCTGCTCTCCGTTCGCCTCCTGGCCCTCGGCTCACTGATGCCACCAGCTCCGCAGCCCTCCAGTGTGGCTGTGGTCACAGCTCACGGGCCTCAGTGCCACCGGCTCAGCACACTCCCCCTGGGCCCGCCCTCTTCTCCCGGGGACTCCAACCCCAGCTCCACTAGTGACCCCACGTGCCACACATGCATTCAGCAAACACTATGCCCCTGTTCTGTGCCAGCAGCTGTTCCTGTCTCCCGGATGTGGCAAGAAACAGGTTGTTTAAAGATCTAGCCCTCCTGGGGCGTATTTTACTCCAGTGGGGGAGGCAGAAAGAGAAGTAAAGAAGCACACAGACATGATAATGTCCGGTAGTAATAGAAGCTGCGAGGAGAGAGTGACAGAGTCTGGGAGGCCTCTCTGAAGAGGTGACACAGAACAGAGGTGCAAATGGAGTGAGAGAAAGAGCCACGCGCCCTCTGCAGGACGGGCCATACGGCAGAGGCGCTGATGAGGGCAAGGCACTCAGACCGGACCCTAGCGACACCTGGAGGAATGGCAAGAAGCCAGTGTGGCGGGGGCGAGGGAGGGACAGCTGGAGCAGAGGTCAGAGGCCGACCTGTGTGTGGTGGGGGATCATGAAGGGCCTGAGGTCATAGAGAACACTGGATTTTGTCATGTGATGGGTTGTGAGCAGATTTTTAAAAGGATCCCTCTGGCTTCTGTGCTGAGAACAGACTGTGGGGAAGTAGAGAGAACGCAGGGTGATCTTCGTGGACACTGGAGCAAGAGGTGATGGTGGAAGTGGCTGAGGGGAACAGAAGGGACAAGGTTTGGGATATTATACTGAAGGTAGAGCTGACAGAATTTGCTGACCAGTTGGAGGCAGGATAGGAGAGAATGAGAGACATCAGACCAAGGTGGACAGGACAAAGCAAAGGGCAGATTTATGGGGAAATCTAGAGTTTAGCTTTGGATGTGTTAATTTTGAGATGCCTTTTGACAATTGTCTGTAAGATTCTGAAGTGCAGGGGACGGGTGTCCAGGCTGGAAACAAAATTTGTCAGCGTCAGTGAGCAGAAAGTATTAATCTCTTTCTGGCTCTAGACCCTGTGGCTGAGAACCATACTATAGGAACAAACTTGCAAATATTTTTGTGATTCTTTGTTCATCACCCATCAAAAGATAAAAGAGCCCTGGCCGGATTGGCTCAGCAGTTAGAGCATCAGCCTGCGGTCCTGAGAAACCCGGGTTCAGTTCCCGCTAAGGGCACGTACCTCGGTTGCAGTTTGTCCCTGGCCCTGGTTGGGTTGTATGGGTGGCAGCCACTCGATGTGTCCCTTTCACGTCGATGTTTCTCTCTGTCTCTCTCCCTCCCACTCTATCTGAACAAAATATCAAAAAATGTCCTCGGGTGAGGATAAAAAATAAAAAACAAACAAAAGATAAAAGAGAACCTAGAGAACAGAGAAAATGGAGGGCATGGTAGATTGACTGCATTGATGACCCCCATTAAGAGACTCCCTTTGCCTTGTAACATTGTGGTCCCCTCTTACCCTGCGGCTGGGCTAGACCACATGACTTACTTTGGCCAATAAGATGTTAACTGACTCAACAAAAGCAGAGACTTAGAAAAACACTTGCATGTTTCTATTTGCTCTCTTGTTCCTCCACCTTCACCGTAAGAATATGCCCAGGCAGACTCTCTCTTGGAATCCTGTCACCACCATGAAATGGACCCAGGCTGGCCTGCTGGAGGATGAGAGACCACAGGGAGCACAGCTGAGCTGTCTCCACCAAGATCACCCTAGATCAGCTGCTCCCCAGCTGAGTTGACTAGCTGCCTGCAGACACAGAACCTTCCAGCTGACGTACACTCAAAGCTGTTATGTTAAGCCACTGAGTCTTGGGTTGGTTTGTTACACAGCAATTAATAACTGATAGAGAGGGTGAGGAGGGAGGGAAGGGGAAGTTAGAAAGAGAGAGAGAGAGAGAGAATTGTGTGCTGAGCATCTATCCCCATAGGGGAGGAGAGGAATGTCCCTTAGGATGTGAGGAGTGTAGGAGCTGGTGCCTGACTCATGTCCAGAGGCCTGGGAAAGGCCTGCATTGGAAGCAAAGACATGTATGTCTCCCATGGGCCCAATGTGGACCCTGCAGAAGGAACCCTGACTAAGAGGATTACACAGGGGTGTGAGGTGACCTCAGCAGAGGTCAAGCCCGAGGAAGGCATTATATAAGCAGCCAGATGGAGCAGGGATCACCCAAGTCAAGAGAATAACAAGAGAGACACCAGTGACAAGAGGGGCTCCAAAGAACCCACCAAAACATCCCTGAAGAAATACAACTTGGGAGTGCCTATCCCAGCTCACTCCACCACCAGTGGAGGAGGACCTTCTAGCCTGCTCTCTCTCCTCTCTCCACTGCTCCAACCCCAGTGCTAGCAACAGGGCAGTAGGTGGAGCAGGAAAGAAAAACCTATGATCTTCCCAGTTCAGGTTTCCAAGTTTGAACCAGATGCAAAAGGCTAAGACAGAATTTGTTTTAAATTGGACGAGTCTGGAGTTTTAATACTAGATTGGACTGGACTTCTTATATCTGAGATTGTCAAGAAAATGAAAGGGACTAAAAGAATTCCACAGACCAAGATTGATGGGTATCCTATTGAGCCTAATAAGGCACTTCCAATGTGGTGCTTCCCCAGGCTGTGTCCCGCGCGCTCTCCTCACTCACACGGTGCTGGAGACCCCTCCGCCATCAGGGTCTGCCTAACCTTCTAATTTGCTGGTTTCCCAGCCTCCTTCTCCAGGTCGGACTCCTCCGGGTGATTCGGCTACACTAGCCCCATCAGCTGACCTGTCCCCCAGATGTCCTGCTCTGGCACCATCCTCAGGTTCGGTGGCATCCACTCGGGTGCTCAGACCAGAAACCCTCATTCCATCAGCACCACCGCCTCCCCACCTTCCCCTCCATTTTTCCTGTCTCCTGCTGATGTTACCTCCTGAGCAGCCCTTCAGTTGGCCCTCTTCCCCGGTGCCCCTGGCCACCGCCCTGGCCCTGGCCTTGCCTCTGTCTCCCCTTCTACCATGTCCCCCTCTGTCAGTGAGAGCCAGCCTGAATTGGATCACGCCACTTCTGTGTTTACAACCCATTTCAGGATGAAACATGATTTTGCCTGGTTCACAGTGCTCTTCGTGGTCCACGCCCCCTGTGCCAATCACGCGAATGGGCTGTGAGTTCTCCCCAGGACCTTCCCTCTCAGCTCCGGACCCTGCACAGCGGTTGCCTCCCCCACCTCCCTGCCTTTCCACGCACCCCTTCCTCCACGGCAGCAGCTTTGCCCTCTCTGACCTGCTCTTCGCCCCAACATAGCCCGCACCTCATGCTGTCTGTGTCCGTCCAGGCGCTTTTCTCTCCTCCAGCCCTGTCCTGGCACAGGGCCAGCATCGGCGAGGGAGCGGAGAGGAGAGGGGTGGACTGTGGGGAGTGTGGGACGGGGAGTCAGAGTGAGTATATTGCAGGGTCCACAGCACTTTTCCGGGAGGAGAGCACAGGGCCGTGAACCAAATGGTTAGCAGAGCCATGAGGCTCAGGCCGGGGCCTTGCTGGGGGGCGCTGCCTTTAGAGTCAGACAGGCCTGGGTCGAATCCCAGCGCCACGACCTACCTGCTGGATGACCCTGGAAAAGTCAGGTCGTCTCTTTGAGTCTCATTTCCTCATCTGTCAAAAGGGGACCAAAAAAAAGGGCGGTGGAGGTGGGGGCGGGGGGAGCATGACTGCTGGCGGGGGGAGCATGACTGCTGTCCTTCGGCCTGAGAGGCTGGGTGAGCAGCCCAGTCAGCAAACACTCCCGGAGGAGCAGGAGCGGCCCCATCCTGCCCTGGAGGTGCTGCCCCCTGCTGGGGGCGGTCAGGGCAGTGGGAGCCCAGGGGGAGCACAGGGCTGAAGGAGGGAAGGGTGGCTCTGTGACGGCCCCTTGTTGCCTGAGCATCCCCTCCCACACCTGGTCCTGCCCTTTGGCAGACGTGGGTCTGGGCCTGTGGAGCCAGCGGTCCCAGCCGGTCCTGGTGTTCCCCAGCAGGGTGTTGGGGGCAAGGGTTACCGGATGAGGTCGAGCAGGGCGTCCGCTGAGCTCATGACAGGCTTCCCACTCTGCTCCGTCTCCTCCTTCTGGGCCGCCCCACCTGGGTGGATGATGGAGACCATGATGATGCCCACGACGACTGCTACGAAGGTGGTCCACAGGTAGTATGCCACAGTGAGGATGCCCAGGCGGCTGGAGGTCTTGGCATCCAGAGAGGCGAGGCTGGATATCAAGCTGGGAGGGCGATGTGGGTCAGGGTCTGTGGGTGGGGCAGGCCCTAGGTGTCCCCACTCTGGTCACCCTCCTGGCTCTGCCCAGCATCCTCACAGCGCTCCAGGAAATGTGCAGCTGTGGGAGTGCCCCCCACCAATAACCCTATCTTCATGGCTCCTTCTGGCCTCTCTCTGTCCTACTCTCTGCCCCCTGCCCAGGGTCACCAGCCAAGCGCTTTCCCACCTCCTAGGCCTTCCCATGAGCTGTTTGCTTTGTTTGCTGTCCTCTGAGCGGCCTTCTTCACTTGCCTCGCTAATGCCCTCTAGATAGGACCAAGCTCAGTGTCAGTCTTTGGTAAAATCTTTGCCCATTGGGGTTCCTATAACCTCCAGCCTCCTCTGTCATGACCTGGTTGTCACTGTCTGTTTACCTGTCTGTCTCCCTTATCAGACCGAGGACATGTGATAAGAGGGACAGATCTGACTTCTCTGTGGGTCCCCAGTGCCAGCATGAGCTTTTGGTGTTGCCACAAAGTAGGTGGCTTGCAGGCTTGCTGAATAAACCAGCGAGAGAGCGAGTAGATGACTGAGTTAGAGCCCTGGGCTGAGAGTTGGTGACCTGGGTCCTAGTCCTAGCCCTGACCATGGCTGTATGAACTCAAGCAAGCAAGTCCCTTCCCTATCTTTGGGCCTCAGGATCCCCATCTATAAAATGGGGCCACGGTTAGATTTTCCCTGAGAGGTGCCACCTGTGGCCATCTTGGGTTAGTGCCCAGCCCAGACTTCCCTGGTGGGAGGCTGTGTTGAGGGGGTTTGTGGGTCTCCTCTTGGGTCCTCTCCACCCCTGCCCACCGTGACCTGGACACTGCCCCCCAGTGCAGGTCAGCTGGGAGCTACTCTTCTCATGGCTGTGGGAGGGGAGGGGGGAGGGGGGAAATGAGAGATTAGTTAAGGAAAGGCTCATGCCTTGCTTTGCTACCAAAAGGATTTTCCCCCAAAGCCTTTTTATTCTTTCAGATAAAGGAAGTATTTGTCTGGTTTTAATCATGTAAACAGAACAGATAATCCCTCCTCTTCCACGCTCCTCTTATCATTAGGCTACATGCAGGCAGCATCCAGCATTAGGCGAGCCTCTCCCCAACCCCAGGCTGCAGCTGCTGCCTGTGACACCCTGCTCTTCCCTACTCACTGTAGCAAAGGCTTACTCTTCTGTGGGTACCAGGCAGGGTGAAGGCCCCCTCTCTGGGCTCCCACAACCCCTGGGCTGCCCTCTGTCCCAGGCCCACATGACTAAGTTGCTGACTGTTTCCTGGACGTGCCTCTAGGGCTGGGCCGAGATCTGATTCAGTGCTAGGTCCACAAAACCAAACACAGGACCTGCCAGAGTACAGCTTGGCCGCAGTCTGCTGAATCAAGGAGTGAGTGAATGAATGAATGAATGAATGAATGAGTCAGTGTTTACAATCTCTGTTCATCCTATTTGCCAAGGTGCCATATGTTAGTGATGGGCTTAGAGTGAGTCTCAGACATAAATCCTGAAGGGCTTGTAACGAGATCGTGTGGCCAGGGGAAATGGAGACCACCCTGCAATCATTATCCATGACAGAGATTATCCCCAGACCAGAGCCGAACTGTCTCCTGAACACAACAGAACCCTCACAGTGAAGACCAACTGCTGCAGGCCACAGGGAAGCCATGGCCCCGAGAAGAGGACCTGCCCCAGGTCACACAGAACACTGGAGGCCAGCTGGACCAGAACTCAAGCCCCAACTCCAGGCTTGTCCTTCATTCATGCCGCTCTGTACCATGTGCCCACAGAAAGAAATCAGTCAGTCCTCGACCTCAAGTAGCTGCTGGTCTGGCAGGAGAGTGCGGACGGAGGCAGACACAGACACTGGGGACACAAGTGGTCTCAAGTAACCAGTGGAGAAGATGGATGGACCCATCAGTACCACAAGAGAGAGGACAAGGATGTGCCACATTTATGCAGAGGAGGGAGGGATCACTTCTAGTTTGGAGAGTCAGGAAGGGCTTTCTGGAGGAGGGGGCATTTGAGTTGGTTCTTGGAGGATAAGGAGGATTTGGAGATGGGGCAGATGTGCCAGGCAGTAGGACCGCAGAGGCCAACAGGGAGGCTGAGAGGTTGGCGAGCGTGGGAACACTGATGTTTACTGTGTCAGAACTCAGGTCACATTTGAGGTGTGGTGCCATGTGAGGCAGAAAAGATAGACTGAACTCAGGAGTGTGGTGGCCTGGGGCACCACGCCAAGGGGGACATAGGAAAGAGTGGGGGCCAGACCCTTCATTTAGCAGAATTCACTGGATGTCTGAGAAGGGAGCAGTAATTCCTTAGATTTGAGAGTCTGACAGTAAAGTGTGCTGGGAAGCCCTCTGATGTGGCATTTGTAAGAACAAAAGTCTAGGACCAACTTAAGAAATCATCAATGTACGTTAGATGAAAAGTTACAGCATATTCATGCAGTGGATGGAGTTCCAAGCAGCTATTAGCAGTAATAGTGTCATTGGAGAGACGTTCCTATCTGACGTTCAATGGAGAAAGCAAAGTATGAGATAGCTTACTGTTCTGTAGGGAGCATGTGGTCCAGACATTCCTATAAACGTGTTTGAGGGATTGTGTGGGACATGGGTGCAGATCTCAGAAAGGGACCATGTGTTGCCCTGCAGAAGAAAAGGTCTAACGTGGGAGTGGAGCCAACTCAGGGACAGACCTGGACTTGGGACGGGAGGGAGTGTAGGTTCTAGAAACAGCAACAGGGGGCCCCGGACCCAGGGCCTCTGGAAAGGAGAGAGCTGATGGATAAAATGGAAAGAATTTCACCACCTGGGACCCAAGCAGTTCCACTCTGGATCCTCCCTCCCTACAAAACGGAAAGAGTTTCCCTACTGGGTGAAGAGAGAGCTGATCAGCAGAGATGAGAGCAGGTGGGAAGGGAATTTCTGACATCAGCTGACAGAGCAGCCCCTCCTCTCCCCAGGCAGGTGCCCACTCCAGAACTCAGTAATAAGAAAGGAGATTCAAAGTCCTGCCATCAGCCGATAGGGGCTCCTCGAGGTCCCAGACTTTCGGGCAAACAGTTAAAGTGACCTTTCTGAGAACCTAAAGCCAGGTAGGGCCATCTGTGGGGAGTGTTAGGTCACATGGACATGCACAGAAAAAAGCTCTAGAAAGAAAGTTTAATAGTAGCTGTTTTGGGGTTATGGAATTGCGAGTAGTTTTTGATTTGTTATTAACGTTTTTCCACATTCTCTATTATTTCTAGAATATGCATGTCTTGCTTGTATGATGGAAAACACAGCCCCTTGTCTGGAGCTTAAGTATCCCCAAACACCTGAACATCCACCTAAATTAATGCTTGACGTTCTAACTCAGCGCTGCCCTATACGATTCTAATGTGGGCCACATTGGGAATTTTAGATTTTCTAGTAGTCAAATTAAAAAAGTAAAAAAAAAAAAATGGGTGAAATTAATTTTAATAATACTTTAACCCAGGATATCCAAAATATTTCAAAGTGAAATCAATATAAAAAAATCAATATTATTAAACTGTTTATAAAACTGCTTCAGGCTTTAAATTTTAATTTTAATTAATTTTTTGAAAAGTTCAGTTCCTCATCGTGCTAGCCACATTTCAAGGGCTCACTAGTCACTTATGAGACTGGCAGTTTGAGTTACAGATCAGGAAGATAGAGCGCAGCAGGTAGAGACAACTGGCCAAGCCACCCAGCTGGTAAGTTGCAGAGTCAAGGTTGAAACGGGTTTCTGGTTCAGAACCCCTTAGGGGGTTCCCCCCTCCCACCCTGCCTCTCTGTGGTCCAGACTTGGTTGAACTCCTGTGGAAGAAGAAGGTCTTCTGGTTTTGGCTGACCATGAATTTAATGTGACTCGGTCCATGTAATGACTCTTTAGTTCAGCTTTCAGAGTTCATGACCTGTCCCGTGGTGACAGCCCTCAGATTTGTGGTGGTGAGCTCCCCATCTTTGGATGTATCCCAGTGGGGGCTGAATGGCCACCTGTTGGGATGCTAGAGGGAGGCTTCCAGACTGAGTGGAAGGTTCCATGAAAATGACCTCAAATGTCCCTTCTGGCTCTGTGATTTATGGTGAAGAAAGAATAGATAACCTTGCCTCCCCAACTCCCAGTATGACTAAGTACTGCTGGGGAACCCTCCCACCCCCACACATCCTCCAGGCCCTGGGGAAGAGCCTTAGGAAGCCCAGAGGTCTGGGCTCCCTCCCAAGCCATCTGGCTACTACTCCGAACCCAGGGATTGGGGTTCAGGAAATTGTGGTGATTGGAGAGTAAGCGGGCTCCAGGGCCCAGCCTGTTTCAATCTGGTAATTGCTTCACTTACCAGGGTGGGGGAAGGGAGGCACCAGCTGCCAGTCTCTTCCTGGAGGGAGCAAAGGCCACTTATTGACTCACACCAACCCCTGAAGTGGGTATTGTGACCCCGTCTAACACCCAGAGGTGCCTACTACTGCCTGCAGACTTCCCTTCGGAGGGCAGACGGGCTCCTCAGACTGCTGGGGTGCTCAGCTTTTAAAGTCCCCAGGAACTGTCCTTACGCCCTCATTGCCTCGGGCCACCTCCTTCTCCTCACCCGTGCCGCTCCAGTCACCCCAGTTTCCCCACTTCTCCTTGAACCACCTTTGTACTGGCAGTTCCTTCAGCCTGGAACTCTATCTCCCATTCCCCACACACCTTCTCAAAGTTTTACTTGTCCTTTCCAGAATCAGTGTAGACACCCTTCCCCACTTCACCCTCCTCCCAGAGCACCCTGTGCTTCCCGGTATGTTACGGGGCACTCTGCCTGCCAGCTCACCCTGAGTGCCCAGGCCCAGCTCTGGCACAACACAGACTGGAAGCAAGGCGTGCGGGGGGCAGCCGTGAAGGAACCCGGTCCTCTGCCCCTGCCTCCCCTGCTGCTCAGCTCTCAAGCCTCCACTCAGGCACCTCCGCCCCCTGGAGCCCACCGGGCTGCACTGGGCAGCTCCAGGGCG